CTCGTATTTTCAGAAATGGGCCCCCGACCACTGCTAGCGACAAATACCGCGATAGCCTATAACCATAGCCCGCCATTCACACGCCCCGGTAAGCACAATACGGATAGGACGATGGGGACAAATGGCGCATTGGAATGCATAACTCAGCATCAGCGGTGCACCAATTGCCATGCAGCTCACCGACACTGGTATTGAACAGCTACGCCCTTCCAGCTCAGCCGTCGATTTAGATTGTGACATGGGGCAAAGTAGACATGAGATGCATACGGTGATGTGTCAATGAAAGCCATCGGAACATGTTTTTTTTTCTTGTGTGGCTCTGTGTCCGAAGTAAACATGTCATCTTTTGTGTTTCTGAAGTTGGGCACATCACTGAAGCGTTTGGAATTTTCAGAAATCCCTAAATGAACTGCGTGTGGACTGTGGATGCTCCGAACTTCAAGAACGCCTTTGGCTCATAAGAAGTCGAGAACATCGACGGTCTGCTATGTCAGGAAGCGGGAAGCAAAGGGCGAGGGAACCATGGCCCCCGAACAGGAAATAGACCGCAGTGTTAGTGAATGTCTTCTGCTTAGGGAAACTCGACCTGTCAAACCGTTTCCCAAACAGCATCACCACAGCCAATCTCTGCACCAGCACAATCACCGCCACCGACAACATCGACGGCGACGAGGCGTGCCACCGTCAAAGATGACAGCGACGACAAAGACGTCGGTTGTTTCCTTTCCGACGGCACCCCGCGGCCACCGGGGCCCACCAAACACACACGCACACAGACACACAGACTTCCCGCTTTCCCTCCCACGTGCATCTTTTCCCGACTTCACTCCCAGGGTTTGTTCTGGTTATGGTGTTGTTGTTATTCTTTACCTCGGTGGTCGGTGTCGGGGGGGGGGGGGGAGGGGGGAGCAGGGTGGTCTTCAATGCCGACGGTTAGTTCATTACAACTAATGAGCGTCCAGTGGTGAAATGCTTCCTGGGAAAGACCATATTTAACGAGAGAATGGATTTGTTCCTATCTTAAATTTGTGATTACCTTCACCAGAGGACCGAAGATGAAAGCTTTTTTTGAGGGCTCTCAGAAACCGGCATCGGACCCCAAAAAAGCCTGTATGGAGGCCCTCCAAGTCCAAAGCTGGGATGGAGGCCACAGGAGCCGATGTTTAGCCTAAAGAGCCGGCATGGAGGACTAAGTAGAGGAAATGGGTCTCAGTTGGGGCCTTCGGGGGCAAGCGTTTGAGCCCCAAAAGTATGTGTGGGGTCTGAGAGGCATGTAAACCTCTGGGGTATGCACGGGGTCCCAGGAGCTCGCGTGTGAGCCCAAATATTCGGCTGGCGGCTACTAGAACCAGCACGGGGATTCTTAGAAGCCGCTTAGACCCACATTTCATGGGTCATGAGTCCCAAGAGTCGATGTAGGGGCTATAAAAGCCGGTGTAGGGCCCATGGCCCTATAAGTTCCGACATTGAGATTCTCAGAGGCCGGCAACGGGGCACCAAGAGCAGATAAAGTGCCTCAACAAGCCGACATGGGGCCTGAGAATCAGTGTGGAATTTCAGGAGCCTGCGTGAGCTCTCGGAGACCTTCGTATTTCGTAAGGTCCACAAAGGTCGTTGGATCCTCTGAATCTCTACTCTGTGGGGCCCTCAGAGGCCAGCATGTCTCCTGGCACCTGCCTGCGTTGAGTTGAGACCCTCTGAGGCCGTCGTAGGGTTCTTCAGAGGCCAGCGTTGGCCCTTGAAGCCTTCGTTAGGCCCTAGAAGCCGTCAAGAGGGCTCTCAGAGGTCAGCATGGCCCTGGAGCCTGCCTGCGTCAAGGCCCTCAGAGGCCGTCGTGGGGCCCTCAGACGCCAGCGTGGGCCTTTGGAGCTTGCGTTGGGTCTTAGAGACCATCGTGAGGGCCCAGAGAGGTCGTCGACAGGGCCCTCAGCCCCTCAGGGACCGTCCTGGAGTCCTCAGAAGTTGTGGTGAAGCCTTCGAGAGGATCATCAGAGGTCGTCATGAGGGTCCTTGACCATAGTGAGGGTCTTCATGGGCCCTCAGATACCTTTGCAGGGCTCTCAGACGCCTTGGTAAGACCGCTAGAGACCATCGTTGTTAGGGCCCTCAATAGACCGTTGTAGGGCCCTCAGATGCCAGCATAGCCCCTGCAGTCTGGCTGTGTTGGGGCCCTCAGAGGCCGTCGCTGGGCCGTCTGAAGCCAAATGGGCCCTCAGACTTGAGTTGGGTCTAGGGCCGTCACGAGGGCCCTCAGATACCGTCTTAGAGGCCCTCAAAGGCCAGTGGGGCCCCTGGAGTCCTGTGGGACCCTTAGCGGTCGTCATGAGGGCCCTTAGTGGTCGTGACGACCTCCCTCAGAGATCATCGTAAGGGCTCTCAGAGGCCGTCATATAGGGCCCTCAGAGGCCGTCATATAGGGGCCCTCAGAGGCCAGCGTAGCCCCCGGAGTCTCTTTGGGGCCCTGGAATCTCTGTGGGACCCTCAGTGGTCGTCATGAGGGCCCTAAGTGGCCGTTGTAGGGCCCCAGGGGACAGAGGTCGTCGTGGGAGCCCTCAGAGATCGTCATAAAAGGGCCCTCTGAGGCCGTCGTGGGGGCCCTCAGATGCCGCGTGGAGCACCAAACGCGGCTTGGGACACTTCTAGGTCGGTATGGGGGCCCCAAAGACTAGCATGGGACGCTCCTGAGTCCTGACCATAATTGGACATCCCGGATGATTCCACATCAGTGTTCGTTTCCCGATCACTGGTTTTCAGGAGAAAATGTATTGGATGGTGCGACGGGCCCCTTGTACGGATTTTGGGGGTGCAAAAAGATATGTTTGCACCCCCATGTTCTTCGATGGGGGTGCAGCTGCACCCCCTGCACCCCCTATTCCGCCGCCACTGGGTAACATATGCCCCCCCCCCCCACCCCCCACTAGGGCGAAGTTGGCTGAGACCGCCACTGGGGCGCGGGTTAACTATAGGTAACATATAAGTGCATGTTGGCCTAAACTTTTGAATTCATTTTAAAGGTAGTGTGCCACCTTCGAATGATTTCCCATTTTATTTTTCCTAGGATAAGAAGCTTCTGTTTTTACATAATATCGCAAAAAAATAAAAAATGGGCCTAAAATAGTGCTTTTTTCGCCTAAAAGTTTATCGTTTTTTCGATATGTATAACAACTGTAGTGGGCTGACCTACAAACAGGCCGGTCGGCAACAATCACGAATGCGGCGCACATGTGACAATAAGCAAAGGTCATTATAGAGTTACGAGTTACGACGTACGGGAATGAGTTATCAGCTGTCTAATCGTAGACAACACAATGTCGAATTTAAACTGTAAGCCTGTATTGGTATTGTTTTTTTAATTTGGCTGTCAAACATTAATTTATGGTTTGAAATATTATTTTATGTAAAATAATTGATATGAAACAGCCGTCTCTCAAGTTATGACCCCATCTCACCACATGAAAGTGGCAGAAATGACAATGATCAGCTGACGCATTTTTCTTGGCCGAAGTCAGAGCGTGCGGCCCGACGCACCACCACCGCACCACAAAGTATGAGCAGAAGCCGCGCCCAAAGCCAGGGCCCCGGTAACGTGAGATAGCCGAGTCGGGGCAGCGTGCGCTGACCCAAGCCGGGGCCGCGGCTTTGGGCGCGGTCTACCGCATCCCCGCGGGCAGCCCCGGGCTATCACATGACACCGGGAGGACGCGCGGCCCCGGCTTGGGTCAGCGCACGCTGCCCAGACTCGGCTACCTCACGTTACCGGGGCCCTGGCTTTGGGCGCGGTCTACCGCACCACCTAACAGGCGTGTTCGAAACCGCAGGAGATGATGATGAACGGGTTTATCGAAACTTGATTGGATGAACCTATCGGTAATAGCGATTTCAGTGTGTGCATTTATTGTTCATAATGGTGTGAAATGTGGTTGGGGTACGACCGACAACCCGTCGGGACGAATTTCGCACTGGGGTACTCAAAATTTGAAGAATTTAAGACGTTTCCATGAGTTTTGAAGATATGGATAAGTTCTAAAAATCCGGTTCTCCTTATCTGGGCCATTAACTCTAGGTATACGGTCCAGGAAAGCTGGCACACTACCTTTAAAAGAGATAAAACGCAAAAATTATCCAACGTTTCGCATTTATTGCTTAGTCATGGGTGTTAGAGTGCGATAGTGACACTTTGAATCGCACTCTAACACCCATGACTAAGCAATAAATGCGAAACGTTGGGTATTTTTTGCGTATTATCTCTTTTAAAATGAATTCAAAAGTTTAGGCATGATGCACTTATATGTCACATCTGTCATTTGCATAGGCGCGGGAGCCGGGGGGGCAGTGGGGGCAGCTTGCCCCCCCAACTCTGGGGCCGTGGGGGCGGTGCCCCCACAGCTTTGAGACGGAATACCACACTTTTTTTGCAAATGTTTTCTTTTTTTGTTGAAAAATCCGAGGGGTGAAAAATAAGTGGCCTAAAACCGGTGAGAAACCTAGATTTGGGGGTACCCTAGGTTAATCTCTATTATGGTGTGCCCCCCCAGTCGGAAAGTAGTTCCCGCGCCCCTGGTCATTTGATAATCCTCAACTATAGGTAACTTTGGGAAAATCCGTCAACAGCTCAAGTGGCCACAATAAGCGGCTGGATTTATTATCCGTGGATTTATTTAGCGGATTCCACTGTAACAAAAAATGAGCCGTCATCTTGCGAAACAGGATAGCAGCGCGCTGCTATCACAGGTGAAACACCACTCCTAGCGACCTCTATAGTAAAATGCTTTGATGTTCTAGCGGCATCTACCAAAGGGCCAGAGCTTTCCGCGCCATCTGATGTATGACGTCATACGTTTGCATGCCTTTCATTGGGTAATTCCTCTACGCCATCGGAGAAGGCGACCAATAACTGTGCCGGACAAGGTGGGAGATGTCTGTTTTGTTTCGTGATGATTTGAAACATAAAATGACGTCAGATAAAAATCAAATGACTTTTATTTTAAATTATTTGGTTTTATCAATTTAATATTCCCATATCGCTATTTAAATTACGTTATGATGTTTATATACTTGATAAACAGATTTCAATAAAGAAACTTTATACCAATGACGCCACTAAAACAAATGTACAACATAATCCGGAAAAATCATACCTTGGCTTTTCCCTTTCCAACACTCCTCCATTTTGAAGGTTTTTAGCCCTCTTTACGCTCAGATTCTTCAGCGCTAATTTTCCCTCTATTCAAGCGAGATGTCAGCCAGCATCATTCAAACACGGAGGGCGAAGGAGAAGGAGCGTGAAGAGGATGGAGAAGAAGAGGGGAAAGGTGCCAAAGGTGTTCCCGATGTTGATGAAGTCGAGGCCAATGTCGTTCAGGTTATGGTGCAGGACGAGGGAGACGAGGAAGTGGCTCACGCTGTGCCTATCCGCGTTGAAGCAAAACAAGATTCTCACGTGCAGATAATCGCATCTGGGTAAGTTATGGCTCCCTTTTTACTCTCCTTTAGGTACTATGGCATCAACAGTGTCACTGATGGCTGATGCTAAGATCATACATTTTGCTACTTTTGTTCAAATAATTGTAGCACCTCGGGCCTATTTTTAGAAGCTGAAGGTCTTCCCTTTCTTTATAGTAAATGTCCCTCCAGACTGGAGGCTAATGGAATTTATCATCTACTCCACATTTCTGCAAACTATGCCAGTGACTGTCTGATTGCATTTGACCCTGTCTCCGCCAGCGAGCCTCCATCTAAGGTGGTGAAGCTGGACAACTCGGAAGAGTACTATGTCATCAACCAGGCAGAGGCTGAACAGATGGAGGAAGAGGAGCGTTCCTCGCAGCACGACACCTCGCAGGATCTGGACTCGACGCGCGGCTACTCCAAGAAGCCGCAGAAGTACCGCAGGCAGTGGGAAGAGCACCCCATGCTGGCCAGTGAGTGTTTGGGACGGGGACAGGAGATGATGGGTTGATGGAGGAAAGGTGTTTCACCCCTGGCCTCCAGGGCACTGACTGGTGGAGAATGTGCATTTGCATTCCCCGTTCTATTCAGCTTATGACACCATAAAAAAGAAAAGAATCTAGGATATTTATAATAAGCCCTGTTAAGGATGGCTTAACTATTAGGTATCTCTTGAATATGCTGTTGATGACAAACAAGAGAAGGAAGAATTAAGGAGATTACCAACAGTCCTTTTGCAATCAGCAAACATTTAGTCTTACCTTCACACTACCTGACTGCCGTCCAGTGGCAAAAACCATTATGTTAGGTCACAGGTCAATGTAACATAATGGGTTTTGCCTTTGGACGGCAGCTGAGTCCAGAATCACCTTTTTCTCTCATTTCCTGGTGATGCTTTCTCTTTCTTTTCTTCTGGTCAAGTTACAATTTTTCTGTTTTGCGTCGCTGATGCCCGAGAAATGGGTGTCATCAGCCTGTGGAACAGAACCCTGCAGGCTCTTGGGGGTCAGCAGTCTCGCTTGCAACTTGTGCATTTTAATGAGCTATTCCTTTTGTCTGACGTCTGCCCGTCTCGGCAGGCTGGCTGATGATGCTGCCGGGGAACCACTACCGGGCCTGGTGCCGCCAGTGTGGCTGCCCGCTCATCACCCAGCTCAAGGTGCTGCTGGACCACGCGCGCTGCCGCAAGCACACGCGTCGCGAGGGCCGCGCGCCGGTGGACCCGCCGGTGCAGCACGGCGGCCGGCTGGGCGCCGCCAGCAAGGCCGGTACTTGGGGAAAGACGGACGCGAACAGCCAGCAGCTGGACGTCAGCTACGGCGTGAGTGCCGGCGGGACGAGGCGGAGGAGTGGAGACAAACGTTCTATTATTTTTTCAGGTAGCTGACGGTGTCATTTTGTTATCGAGGTTTTGCAATAATTGTCATCCTTTCATTAGAGTTACGTTCTAGAGTGATCGTCGAGAGTACTTATTTTTGCCATCGTGTAATCGTTTTAAGATTGAAAAATCAATATTGTCATTCGGCGAAGTTACGACATCGTATACTTTTATTTAGGAATGATTGCTATCGAGTGCTTATCATTCATTACATGTTGATCGTTATTTGTTGCCCACATCGTCTTTCCTTGTCATCTTGTGTTCTCGTTACCATCATCTGTAATCAAGTTAGCTATTGTTGCTATCGAGCAAGTATCGCAAGATGTGTATTACTTCGAGCAAAAAATGGCACTAAGCTGATTTTATTTATCATTTATTGATCAGTGAAAGCATTCTAGCAAGTGGTGCGACTCTGCCCCACAAGAGTCGACATGACCTGTGGCCTATTAGCGAGGACCCTGACCTCTGGGCTCTGACGTGTGACCTCTCCATCAGGACTCTGACCGTGTCACCTACTCGATCGGCCTCGGCAACCAGAAAGTCGGATTCATCGGCGCCGGCAAAATATCGCAGGCCATCGCCTCAGGCATGATGAACAAAGGTCAGTGCTGCGATGGGTGGCACCGCTGATACGCTAATATAATCTTCTGGTCTAAATAAATCAGGAATAAACAGCCAGCTAGGTACCATAAATGTGCGATTTCAGTGTTCCTTTCTTTCACAGATTTTTGGTAGAGCTGTTTGTGAGGATTTGGCCCGCTTGTGGCCGTGTCAATCAAGCCGGCTCCGATTCAAATCCCACACACTACGACATGTTGGTATTGACACTCCATGATGTGATGTCTGTTTTCTGATCTGTATGCCATTTTCTGCACAGATGTATGACCTGAAGTGACCTTTTCCACAGGTCTGACCTCGTCCAGCTGCATTCAGGTCAGCTCTCCGAGCGACAGGAACCAAGGCATCTGGAAACGCTGGAAGTGCAAGACCATGCATGATAACAGTGAGTTACAGACTCACTGGCTGTAGTCAGAGTGAATTGCCGAGAGTGCTACTGAAAGAACATCGTTCATCGGGCTGTCACTGATATTTGCACTGGCCGCTATGATATATCGCTGACAACATAGTTTGCTTCTGACATTATCACGACTGACTTTACTGTCCGTAATATAACAGACGCGCAGCTCTATGTATCGGCATGATTGACAGTGATGAGTGATGTCACTACTCGTGTTTCAGACGCGCTGATTGGCCAGTGTAACGTGTTAGTGACATCACTGTCCGTGTTCCAGACGCGCTGATTCGTCAGTGCGACGTGGTGTTTCTGGCGGTGGCGCCCGCGGAGCTGGAGTCGCTGGTGGCCGCCCTGGAGCCGCCCAACGACGGCGTGGAGAGGTGCTTCATCTCCACAGTCAGCGGCGTGTCCCAGGAGAGACTGACGCAGGTACGGATAGAGAGTGAGACTGAGACTGACAGGTACGAAGGGAGTCTGACGCAGGGACGGAGAGAGAATAACACATATACTGACATGGATGTTGTGTATGTATTTGTAAATCTGTTTTTGTCTTTCTTCCTCCTCTGTGTTTGTTGTCTCTGATTTCCTTCTCTTTCCATATCGATATCTTTTTCGCTTCTTTCTGTCCCTCTCTCTCACCTTTGCTTCTCTCTGTCTCTCTCTCCCCTCCATCTCTCACACTTTCCCCGACCCGTTTCCAGATGCTGTCTGAAGTGATGCCAGACGAGCCGATCTACGTGATCCGCTGTGTGCCTTCGAAGACGGTGGCCATCGGAGAGGGCATCTGTGGTGAGTGAACAACGCAGCGGGTGGAGGGGTTGGAGTACTGGGGGAGGTGGTGGGGGGAGTTGGGAGGTCGGTGGGCAAGATAGTGAGGCTGGAGGTCTGGATGGGAGGTTTAGGACGGTATGGTCGGGGAGTGGGGCTGGGGTACTTATGGTGGTTGGACTGGCAGAATTCAGTGTGCAGTGCGCCCCAACACATGAACTTCATTAGGTCTAACACTGTACCCTCTATGACATCGTTCCAGTGTACAGTCAAGTACCGCGCAAAGTAACGGTGGATCCGTCAAGCCTGACCGAAGAAGGGCCTGCTATAATTTGAAAGTCACCGAACCAATTGACCTGGAGAATGGACGAGGATGTCCATTGCTTCGGTGACTCAAATTTAGCAGTCCTTCCTCGGTCAGGCTTGGTGGATCCACCGTTACTTTGCGCGGTACTTTTAAGACAGACTGTACACTTTACAGCGCGTCGCACGACCTGCCTAACACTGTACCCTCTCTGACATTGTTCCAGTGTACAGTGCGCCGCACGACCTGCCTCACACGTGGCTGCTGACGATGGAGACAGTGTTCTCGGCGCTGGGCCTGTGTCAGAAGGTGGAGGAGCACATGATGAACGTGCACAGCGCGGCCTTCGGCAGCGGGCCGGCCTACGTGGCGGCGTTTATTGACGCGCTGGCCACGGGCGCCGCCAACCACGGCGTTCGCTGGGAGGACGCCGTCCAAATGGCCGCACAGGTGGTAAGTGAGGGGAGCCGGGAGGAGCAGACGGGAGAGGACCCGGGGGGGGGGGGGGTGATTAGGGCGCGGTGTAGATTTGAGTGACGGCTGCCTGGTTGCGACTTTTGATATTTGTTTCACGTTCTAATAATTGTGATTATATTGTTGGTTGTTATTACGACATTCACTTGCTTGTTTTCCGATCTTTTTTTGCGAACTGGGTAACCTGGTGTATCGTTTTTTTTTTTAGACTTCCCCCGCCGACCACTTCGATTCATTTCACTATCTTCTTATGCACTCCTGCCTCCATGTACTGTGGTTAGTACTGCACGCATTTTTTACCTAGCCCGGCCAAGTGACCAGACCTGAACTGTGCTCTTATCTCTCCCCAGACCCAGGTTACAGCTGCGATGATCCTGACTCAGGGTCTGACCCCCACGCCTTGGTGAGGTGACCTGACCTGACCTGACTTGTGTTCTGTTTTCACAGACGCAGGGCACAGCTGCCATGATCTTAACCCAGGGTCTGACCCCGGCCGTGGTGAGGAGGGATGCCGCTGCACCGGGAGGCAACACCATCTCTGGACTGATGGCGCTGCAGCGGGGTGGAATGGAGTGAGTGACACTGACACACACTTGACCCGTCACACTGACACTGACACTGACACACTGACACCATCTCTGAACTGATGGCGCTGCAGCGGGGCGGAATGGAGTGAGTGACACTGACACTGACTGTCTGACACTGATACCTGACTCCGACCACTGACACACTGACACACCGACACTGACGCCATCTCTGGACTGATAGCACTGCAGCGGGGTGGAATGGAGTGAGTGACACTGACACACTTGACACGCCGATACTGACACACTAATACTGACACACTGACACAGACTGACACTGACACACTTGACTCGTGTAGGTCTTCTGTCCCCTCTCGTCTGTCTGCTGACCAACGCCGATTCACTCTGTCCCTAGTTTCTTCGCCCTGTGTTCCTTTTGTCCCCTCCTCTTTCCGGATCAGTACCGGTTCTGTGATGTAGTTCCGCTCTCCTCTTTATTGATGTCCCCTCTCTTGATATGTTCTTTCTCCCTGTGTAGTGCCAGCTCGCTAGTCTGCCTTTCAGTTCTGTCCTCCCCTCCCCTCTCCTCTGATCAGTGTTGGCTCGCGCTGTCCGTTTCGCTGTTGCCAAATGCCACCCCTCCCCTCATGTGACCAGTACCAGTTGTCTGTCGAAGTGTCGCTTTTTCTGCCCTATTCTCCCGCCTACCCAGCCATTGTCGTCTCGTTTTACCCGTTCTCTTATCTGACCATTGTCACTCCACTTTTCCCCGCAGATTCGCCGTCATGTCTGCGGTGGATGAGGCCACCAAACGGGCCAAGGAGCTGGGTAATGTCGGGGAGCAGCAGCAGTGAGCGATACCGCCCCGGACCTCCGCGCTACGGACCAGTGAGGTCATCAGTAGACAGTGACGTCATCAATGAGCAGTGAGGTCACCAGTAGACAGTGACGTCATCATTGAGCAGTGAGGGCACCAGTAGACAGACGTCATAAACACCACGGGCGTCGTGGAGCGGCGACGTTGTAAAAGTCCAGCGAAACCCTGGGACTACCTATGAATGTGAAGCAGGAGTGTTGGAGAGGAGAAGAGTTGAAATCGTAAGATCAGGCACTGAATGGAATTCATTACAGTCAGACCGGTTTCGGTGTATTAACACTGGTAGAAGAGTCTAAGTGGGAGAGTTTTTGAGAGACTGGGAGAGTGGACAATGGATGACTGGCGTGGTTTGACGGAACGATCACATGTGCATCAATTTCATCCTGACCTCCCGGGTGGATAATGTAGGGGTACCAATTCTGAGTTGACACGCGGTCTGACTTTGCAACGGTCTTAGTCTTTATTTAATGAACTTTGAAAACCCGCTGGAAATTCAGAATCGGGGAGCGGGAGGTAGTTCATGCTCATTGTTCATCATTAGAACGTAGGCGAGCATCACTTTACACATCTGACTGCAATGAGGTGAACCGCGTGTCTAGATAAAACACAACGGCATAACACAAGTCGGAGTAATTCACATGGTCAGCTGTTCATTTCATCATTCACGTCAGCCGGTCATCTTCCGTATGCGCTGACTGAACCTGACTGAAAACTCACTTCAAGTGACAGGATTTGGAGACGGAACGGTGTTTGGGGCGTGCTCTGAGTATTGAGTCTCCCGTTGTACGTTTTATCATCTGATTCTGGGCCGTAACTATGACGGGGTTAGGTATATTTCATTCGGGGAATTCGGGATCATGTTGGGATTTGTGTTCGTGTTCTATCGTCCTAGTTTGTATCGTTCGGCATCAATTGTCAGTTTTCGCCGCTCTGTTCCCCGTGTTGTATCCCCCGGGCCATAAAATGTACATAGCTCGCACCAATCATAAGTGTCTCAGTACATTCACTAATAGGTGATTTGGATGATCATGCATAGGACCTTTCTGTTTTGCTCTAATTACATGGTATTTTCGCTGTTTTCCTGAGTCAATTTGGATCGAGTGTGCGTTTGCATACGTATTCTAGATCTGTCATCACTTCTTGTCTTTACAGTTAATCGTCATTTCAAGCGCCAGTTTTTTCGCAACATTATTGAAGCGCTGACAATTTTTAGGTCCAAAGGCACCGTAGCTGATCTGAACTGGCACTTGCTTTTCATCTGTAAACGGTGTGGATCATTCGAATCGCGCGGTAGTTTTCGCCCTTGTCACTAAAGAGGCTATCTTCCATGTGTCATGTTCTCAGTTCGTTTTGCGCAAGCTTTGGTCGACCTGTCATCTGAGCAGAATACACGACAAGATGTAACTCCTGTCTGTCTGAGTTTGTGTTACGTAAAGTTGATTTGTCGAGCAATAGCTGTGTACTACTGAAAGGTACGCATATGGTAATTTATCCACTGGTATAATTCCTATGTGAAAAATCGCACCGCATCGCCTTGGAAAATGTGCTAACGCTAAGAAGCTGATTGAACGACTTACCACCAGCATTTCATGGAAAGGCATCTGGCGTCTGGTCATTGCAGGCCTGAGCTATTATGACTATGTTTATGTTGTATGGTATTACATAATGCTGCGTTTGATAAACTGTACAAAGCGAGATTTTACCGAAACGATGGGCCTAGCAGCTCGTCAATCCAGGTACCGTTATAAAAGGCGAAGCTGCCAGGAGTGAGTGAACCAGGGTGCTTAAAAATACGATTGCTAAATGCATTAAACCTTGAACAGAAAATTATGATCTCAAGAATGAATTTGATACTGCCAACTATTTCAGCATTTTTAGCGTTCTTAGGCTGTAAGTATCCCATTGCAGTAGTTTAGAGTTTTGGCTTAGTTTCAGACTTCATATTACGACAGTAGAATAAGGGAAGAAAATATCGAAAATATTTTGTCTCTGATGCGTCAGATTCCGCGCACACGCTGTCTACAACACGCGCGAGGTGAAGGTAGGTGAGTTTTGCTCGATTTTAAGGAGTTATGAAGGGGTAAGGGAATTATTTCATTTATTCAAGCGTATATTTTTGTTTTGTTATACTTCTTTTCTTTCTTTCCTTTGGACGCTTGAGCCTCGCGGCTACGCTAACGCGCCTTAACCCAACAACAACAGCATTTTCTATCTTTCCTGTTCCTCCTGATAAATACTTCTTTTGTTAAGAAGTATCAGGGGGACTGCTATGTGTTTTCAGGTCATATATCATCTGAAGGCAATTTGAATTGGGTTGGTGGCTCTTTGGTGGCTCAGCCCTCAGGTCGGACGCCGGTGAAAACTGAAGGGCGCCGGAGGGCATAATGAGTCGCGTAACATTTAGAACTTCTCCCCCTCTGTGGGCCTTCAAAATGCTAAATGTCACGTGGTTGTGCGGATGAATTTCACGAGCCTTGATCAAATCGCCCCAGGCGCCCTGTTTTCACCATCGTCCCTCAGGTCTGGGACTGGATGTTGTATTTAAGCGCTACACATTGTAGATAGGTATCCACATAAATCTCGCCACGTTTTTGCCTCATACATTATCTCGTTTTCCAGCCTGTTGTTCTAATGTCATGCTACTGCACTCACAGTGTTGATGTGTGCTGCCGCATTGCAATGGTGATTCATTACAGTGGGGGAAACTGTGGTCAAATCTTCTATTTTTGGAAGCCTTCCATTTTTGGAAGGACCTTCCATAAATGGGTATGCATTTTCCAAAAATGGAAGGCTTCCAAAATTGGAAGGTCTAATCTCAGTGTTCCCAACTGTGATTCACATTCTTTAATTTAAGTTACGGCCTTTTTAAATGTGTAACATTAATAGTTGATTTTGCCATTTATGATCATTGATATAAGGAGAAGCAGCAGTGCTAGTGTTGGTAATACAGGCATGCTATGTCAATGTACATAGTGATATAATAGCATGGTGTCCTGGCGCACTGCTCTCTTTTTCTACTTCTAGAGGACACATAGAAATTCAGAAGAGAAAACAGCTGGTCAATAACCAACCAGGAGGAACACAGCTATAGCCCTGACAAAAAATGGTTTAAATTAAACTTACTATTCCTCATATAAATTGAAGATTCATGCTCCTTCGATAGAAAGTAACACGAAAAACGGCGCAGCAACGCCTATTTAATTCGTCCCATATTCCGGAAAAAACATTGAAAAATGACGAGACCTCCACCCAAATGTTTGGCAAAAGCCTTAAAAAATTGAAATCAACCACACAATATGCTAATAAATGCAGAAAACGGCAACAAATACAAGTTTTACTCGCCACTACACTCCCGAAACCGCCGCACTCTGTCCAGACAATTCCGCACTGTAAATAAAGTCGGCGGTATCGAACAAGCATGGCCCGTCACTAAAGTACTTTTAAGGATATTTACTTTTCGTTTCTGATGCTTTTTGCTTACAAAATGTTTGATAAAGTCTTATAAAACCATCGTTTGTCGGTAAATTTTTGTCAATTTTCCACGACTCATTACTTTGAAAAATTACCTAAAATACATCCACGCTAGGATTTAGGCATCCACGCTAGATTATGGACACTTCACTATGGCGAATAGAAAGCGACCAGGGGCGATAGTCGCATTTGCCTCATGTTCGGCGGAAATCGGTAAGTTCCAACATATGCGCAACATTTTCTATATTTGGGTACGATGACGTCGTCAGCGTACCCATTTTTGGAAGGTGCGTACCCATATATAGAAAATCCTTCCAAAAATGGAAGGCTTTCTAAAAATGGAAGATTTGACCACAGTTTCCCCGACTGATTACCACTTAGCATGACAACTGTAAAGGGTCTGCATAAGTTAGGGTGATGAATCCTAACCAGCCATACTGTGTAGGCTAAAAATCGCCATGGGGATATATTTAAGAAATACAAAATTTTACTGTAACCAACAAGCTCTGTGGTATTTTCAGGAATTGAGTAATAAGTGATTGAGTTGAATTTATTGTCAGGACCATTCATGCTGTGGGTGTTATAGTCTCACATCAAATGGCACATTGCTGAGACCAAGGCTGTAGAGTGTAGAGCCAATGGATTTTTATCAACTCGTGACTCTCCCACTCTGACTCCAGACAAGTGTTGACTTACTGACTCCAACTTTGACTCCACAGCCCTGCCAGTTCTGCAGAGTTGATGGATTTTAGGTGACTGACTCCAGCTCCAGTTTCCCAAATTGACTGACTCCAGTCAGAACTGTTGACTCTACCTGACTCAGACTCTGACTTTGCAGCCCTGGCTAAGATACAGAATCAATATGCATAAAACATTGGGTAGATAATGTTTTATTAAAGCATGCTGCTCAGTAGGTATACACAATGCAGATTATAAAACAGGTAGAACCACTATCTGAAAGGATATGAGGGCCATAGGCCCATAACTAAGAATGTGAGACAAGCAGAGCTAAGACAAATCACATTCTCTGCCATATTGTATTTGGTTGGTACTCTAACCACTGCTTGGCCACTGACCACAAATCATATCGCTGCTCCTGCTGAGAGCAAACAGTGAGCGGCAGCTAGCCCTGGCTCTAGCTATTAATCAGCTCTGGCGGAAATGGACACTCCCACTGAGTTACAGGAGTGGCTAACTTTGGTGTTGAGTGCTCTTGCGAGGAACATATTGTTATAATAACTCAAAATGAATGACCTTTTCGAATTTGCCAATTGGCACAAATTTGTGCCAATTGCTTGTCTGATGATGCCCTGTGGGCGAAAATTCACCTAAATACCTACATCATTTTCGACATTTAAACTTTCTATATTCGAGGAAAAGGTCATTCATTTTGAGTGGCTAACTTCCTTTCATTGCGTTCCATGCCGCCATGGCCCATCTATTGCATCTACAGTTGATCTGTTTGCTTCATATGGTATCCATCCTCATCACTGCCACCGACCGTTTCAGTCTCGGGTCTCGCCACCCCCACCTAGCCGGCCACCATGGGGAAGAGTATGCGCAGCAAGCGGAAGCAGAAGCTGAAGCGGGAGCGCCGTGAGAAGTTCAAGGTGAAGGAGCTGAAGAAGCTGAAGGACATGCTGCGCGCGGCCGGGGAGAACGTGGACGGCGCCTCGGAGGCAGTCATGGTGGACGCGGAGGAAAGTGAGTCGGGCAGCGGGGGGAGGGCAGTTCTCGCAAATAGCGTAAACACGGTGGTACGTAGCGCCACCGAATTTCAGACACACTATGGGGATCTATTTCACACATGCCCTGTGAATTTTGAATCTCAGCCTGAGACTCGCTAGCTCACAATAACCGGTGCATTGTCTAATAACATTGAAATTGTACTGTTTTTTATGAAGCCTAGAGTTTTGCACCGATTTTATTCAGACTTGCAGGATTTAGTAAACTCACCGAGAGCCATAGCATGTATCCCGGTTTTTCGAATTAGGTTGGCACGAGGTTATCTGAAGGTCATGATGACTTATGGGATTTTTTTTTTCGAGTAGCCCCAATTGTGAAAATGTGAGAAATAGACGCTCCATTTCAACCTTTTTATGTTGTACTTCCTCAGTTTATATATCAATACGCGACTTAGTTCGCGACATTTGCTGTAAGAACGCGGTCAAACTATGTTTTTGCTTATAACTTGGCACACAGTGAAGCTGGAGCTGAAACATTGGCGTTAGGGTATTCCTTTTGAGCAGCCAAGTCGAATACTATGCGATAGGATGCATTTGGTGAGATTATGAACCTACTTTTACCCTTTAAATGACCTTTAGAAGTTTACTTTAACTCGTATAAAGTACCTACATCATTCGATGCTATTGACGTTCTGATTTCACTGGTGCTGTTATTTTTGCTCTATCTTTCCTAGAAGAAAAGTTTAAGCCATTTCCGCTCCCGCTCCATTTCAACATTTTTATGTTGTACTTCCTCAGTTTATATATCAATACGCGACTTAGTTCGCGACATTTGCTGTAAGAACGCGGTCAAACTATGTTTTTGCTTATAGCTTGGCACACACTATGGGGGAATTCACATTTTTTCACCCATCCCAGTACGAGCAAACCCCATTATTATAACCCCGTTTATATTAAACACGCTTTTGGCGTGTTTTAGCGAAATTTTTAACTTGTATAAAGTACTACATCATTCGATGTTTTTAACGTGCTGAGTACTCCGGCTGAGTTCACTGGTGCTTTTATTTTTGCTCTATCTTTCCTAGAAGAAAGGTTATAAGCCCAAAGCTTTTGACGTGTATTAGCGAAATATTCACCTTCATACCCTCCAAAAGTCAAAACCCCCTTAAATACTGACCTAAAATCTCCAAATTGGCACAGGGGCGAGATTTTCTATCGGTCCACCTACCCTGTAAATTTGGCATTTTGAACTAATCGCTGCGGGGGGTTAACCCTCGCCTTGGCCAGGCGAGGGTTAATCTCACTTTTCATTGAGGCAGGTAATCGTTTTTCAAACCCCATATCACATCGCACTTATATCCATCACTACTAATCGTCTCGCTCCCTCCCACAGTGAAGTCGAAGCGGACCAAGAAGAAGCCAGAGGAGCTGGCCGAAGGCGAAGAGGCGATGGAAGTTACCAAGGAGAAGACCTCCTCCTTCCACCCGGTTACACTGAAGAACGAGCACGGCAACTACCCGGTCTGGATGAACCGGCGACAGATCAAACGGCACAAGAAGCTGACCTCCAAGACGGCAGACGAGGGCTACAAGAAGGGACGCAAGAGGAGGAAGCTGTAACCTATCCGGCTAGGGAGTGGGGGGGGGGCGGGGTATGGCGAGGTACCGGGCGTTGGGTATCTGTGACGGTCTCTCGCGGTGCTGTTTCTATAATGAAACCAGACATTAATTTCCACTAGTGTCGGAGGGAGGACCTGTGTGATGTCTCCGCCGTATTAAGTAGACTTGACGTACAAGAAACGGCTATCACCACCGCCGGGCCTTATTCACTAAGAGGTACGTCTCCAGAGTTACGCCGCTACATGCGGTTTGATCAGTGGTGTTACAAGTGACGGATACAATAAAACACAGGCACAAATGTATTTGTCAATTTTGCATTTTTACTTTTCTGACATACTACATTTCGCCCTACACCCGGTTATAGCAGAGGGTGAAATAGGTCACCGGTTCGATCACATTTTTTGCATTCTTACCAACCACACAGCAAACGCGATGCGGTAGATGCCGCGTCCTCAATCGCATTGCCATGCCATAGCAACCGCGCAAAGACTTCGTTTGTCGCCTGATACTGGCTGCAGTGGTTTGCTTCCGAGCGTTTCGTTTGCCGTGGGCGTGTGAGATTGCCAATTTCCCTGGGACCAATTCGTCATGGATCAACACTCAACAGTGCTACGAAAAGCACTGGAAAAGCTGTATACCTACTTTGAATGCGCACGTTGAGCAGCCGTTATTGGGTGCTCCGGACATGCTTGGCATGGCAAACATGGTCAAACTGCGTCCATTTTTAGAATGCCTCCTACGAGCTGGCGTGAAACCAACGTTAATGAATTATGCTGCTTAGGGTTCTGGAAGTCGGACTGAGATAAAAATTATCAAGTCAAATTTGAGCGATTTTGTTCGACCTATGCTAATTAAGACTGCTTTGCTGTGACGGTGAAGCCGTTGACATTCGTAATCGTGTAGAGCCTAGCTGAAAAAAAAACAATGTCGTATGGCGCAATGGACTCAACCGGTATATTATGATTCACCATGTAAATCCCACGATCAGTCTACTCGACAGTGAACATATGGTGTCCCGGTTACTACAATCCGGTCTCACTTACCACATGGCTATCCGATTCAGCGCAGGTTCACGATTTGGCCGTTAGGCGGCGCTTCGGTCACGGTGCGAGTCTGCGAGCCACCGACCCGCCGTGGGGGCGTGGGGGGGGGGGGACGGCTCGGCAGCCGCTAAGTTCGGTGTTGCAGACAGACGCGTGGTGACGGTGGTCCAGGCAGGTTGTGGAACTGGGGTGGAGAGAGTGGAAGGACCACATTCACAAGACGGCGGAGAGTGCCGACTGACAAGTATCTCAGACTTGTGGATAACGTTTAACACTGTTGCAAGCGTAGTGTCAAAATATCGGAGCTTCCCGATTTTCTCGAAGCTTATGAGAAAGCGATTCCAACTAACAACATTGGAGGGAAGGTAGAGTGGATTACGTTTTAGTGCGAAGCTCGCATATGCTGTGAAGCCAAGGGATGGTGGATGGAGAGCCATGACTAATCGTAATCGGCGTCTCGTTCTTATCCGTTGACAGCCACGTGAATGCAAACTGGGTGCTATTGACCCGTCAAATGGTAATGTAATAACTCCGATTAGGTATTGGGTACTGGGTACTCCGATTACAGCTATTACTGGTTATCAGCGTTGACTCACCTCAGTTGAAGAGGTGCTCTCGAACGTTGCACTACCATGCGTGGTAGCCGTCCTCTATGAGAAACACGAGGCCGAGTAGGTACATTTAAAGGTCGATGGTTCTGCAGACAACAGTGCAAAGTGTGAAAGAGCGTTGGTGGTTTTCTGACACAGGCAGGCAACTGTGGATTACCGGGTATCTCAACGTACCGTGATGGGTTTCAAACGGTGTGTTGGCTTCATGCATGTTTGTTTAGTGTTTACGGTGGTAATTATTGTGGTAAATAGTCAGGGACAGGAGGATCAAGTGCATCGGATACGACAACGACGGGAGTCGGAGTCGCAGTCTGAGGACCTCCAGGAGGAGCAGTCTCACCCGTTACAGCAGTCTCAGCAGCAGCAGCTGCAACATCAACGGGAAGAGCAGCAGGAACAGGAGCAACAGCAACGGCGGCAGCGGGAGCAGCAGCTGCCGCGTCAACAGAGGGAGCATGATGACGGACAACAGCTTCAACGGCAGCAGCAGGAGCAGCTCGACTCGCAGACGCAGGTGGAAAATGAGGCTCGGACATCAGTATCGCCGTCGCCAACTGTCCAACCACGCATCGGGCCTACCGACTCCGCAACGGATAACTCTCAGCAGGATCCTCACCAAGCTGAGACGGATGGCCGACAGCAGAGGCTAACGGAAACCCAGGGTCACGACGAGGAGATTGATGCTTACACCACTGAGGTCGTGACTGATGTTAGCCGGGATCAAGAGCTGCAACAGGTAGAGGAGGGAGAAGACGAGGAAGGACAAACACAGACAGTGAGGATAGAAGACGAAGATTTACAGCAACAGCTAGAAGACGGAGAAGTGGTGGTCGAAGAGGAAGAAGACGAAGTGCTATCGGACTTGCCGTCGAGCCTGCCGACCCTGCGCTGGGGCGAGGCGGCCACCATCACCAAGTGCTGTCCGCCCGAGGAGGTGCTGGTCCGACAGACCGACGGCCAGCCGCCCACCTGCCAGCCGGTGCCGGCCGACCAGCGCTGGCGGCCACTGCTGCTCAACGGCCGCTCGGGCCAGCGCGTGGCGCCCAGCGCGCGCTCGGCGCTGGTCTCCGGTAACGTCAGCTGCGCCGGCCAGCACTTCTGGCTGGACTCGACGGCCGGGGATCGGTTCGAGCTGCTCACCACGGGCCACCTGTACATGCGGCGCGCCGACGCGCTGCTGGCGCCGCTGTCGTTCTGCGCCGACCGGCTGCTCTCGCGGCCGGAGCGGCCGCCGGAGGAGGCCGGACCGCCGGCGCCGCTGCGGGCCGGCCGGGCGGCGCGCGTCTGCACCCTCTCGCTGCAGGAGCGCAGCTCTCTGCTGGACGAGCACACGCTGTGGCCGGCCTGCGCGCGGCGCCGCTGCCTGCGCAAGTGCTGTCCGCGCGGCCTCAAGGTGCGCTGGCACGACCAGCTGTGTGTGCCGCAGACGGGCGAGCGGCCGTGGCGACCCGGCTTCTGGCAGCAGGCCGGCAACGTCACCGACTACCTGACCGTGGCCGGCAACCCGCCGTGTCGGGCTGACGACGGCTCCTTCCGCAAGGTGTTCGCCCTGGAGCCGGCCTACACGGACGACGACCAGTTCTTCCTGAAGGAGGACGGCCGTCTGTGGGTGCCGCGCCAGGAGGCCACCATCCCGCTGGAGGACTTCTGTGTTGATCAGGTGAGCTGGCTTAAGAGGCCAGCAGATGACTATATTTATTACGGATGCATCGGCTTCATCTGATCCTGAGCTTGTTCAGTCATTTTCATTTCTTCTTTCATGTACTTATTTTTCGATCATTCATTCATCCATTCATTCGTGCGTCCATTCGATCGTTCGTTCGTTCATTCATTCATTCATTCATTCATTCATTCATTCATTCATTCATTCATTCATTGGATGTCCTGCCCATTTAAAATTAGAACCGTGTTGTTCGTTCGCTTTATTTGCGAACTGATTGATCAACTATTCCATTGCTGTTTAGTTTTAGCTCGGCTAAAATTTAGCAAAGACCGGCACCTCGAAGTGACGAGCCATCTCTTCCGCCTCCCCCCCCCCCCCCCCATAGGTGGAGTACGAGCACCCGCAGAAGCCGGGCGTCCTAATCGACTATCACGCGGCGATCGTCTGTTTCGGCGAGTCGTCGGGCTCGGCGGCCGGCGCGCGCGTCTCGGCGGCCACGCACCTGTACCGCGCGCTGCTGCTGGTCTCGGCTCTGTTCCTGCTGGCCACGCTGGTCGTCTACTGCGCCGTGCCAGAGCTGCGCAACCTGCACGGCCGGTGCCTGCTCTCGCACGTGGCCGCGCTGCTGGCCGCCTACGGCTGTAACCTGGCTGCACAACTGGAGGTCGTCTACTCGAGCATGGCCGCCTGCCAGGTCACAGGTCAGTCCAGGTCATACTATACAGGTCACAGGTCGGTCGAGGTCACACTGTACAGATGACAAGGTGATCAGGGTCACACTGTAAAGGTTACAGGTCAGCCGAGGTCACACTGTTCAGGTCACAGGTCGGTCGAGATTACATGGAGGGATCACAAGGTCACTTGAGGTCACACTGTACACTGTACAGGACACTGGTCAGTCATTCACGGCCTTGACGAAAAAAAGTATTTATGTACCTCGCAGTCAGCGAGGGCTGTACGTACTCTGTGGTCTCCTGAAACAGAATAACTTTGGTCTTGGCTGGCCGGGCCAATTCACCACAAACCCAAATATGGCTCAGCTCAATCAGCATCCGCATTAGGTATGCTAAGCCCTCGAGACTGTCACTGTCCCTCTGCAGTAATGCTGCACTCCTCTCTGCTGCCGCTGTGCCTCTTTCCTGCAGTTCCTGAGTCTCCAGTTGCACATTCCAGTCGTTCCTCTCAGCTCCACTCCCAGAGGAGTTGAGATGCCGACCGCATCTGCAAACCGCATCCCGTTTACGTTATGACTAATGACATCAGTGCTCAGCGTGCGACTAATTCATTCGGCAAGCTTCAAAGATCACATATGCTTATTGCATACCTACTCTATTTACCAGGCGATTATGTATGCTGTCCGATTAGATCACACTCAAATGCGAATGCTAGGCATAGAAGGAATGTCACAGAGCTATTTTCAAAGTAACTAGACAAAACGGGTGGCCCAGCTATCGATTATTGACCGGGGTTGTTTTCTTCAAACCGACCTGTATATACGCCGATACCGGTATCATGACATTGGTTATCGTATACCTATCACATGACCTGAATACGGGGTTATGTCTACCACATTCGGCGATGAAGGTGGTATGAGCGTCAATGGTAAAATCATATGCGACCTCTGATCATTGTGGTTACGTTTTCAGTGATATTTCACTCCCCGTTATCAGTCATATGAAATTACGAGTATCGGGTCGAGGCAATAATTCTACACGTCATTCGTATTTCGTACCATTGCAAAAGCGGCTTATGCACAGATGCAGCCGTTAGGTATTGGACACTAATGTGTCGTAGGTATCTGAAACACTTCGATGCATCGACTAGCAAACTAACCGGAAGCGCTGGTTTCAGCGCTGGTGATGTACTTTTCATTTTTGGCGGCGTGTTTCTGGCTGAACGCCATGAGTTTCGACATCTGGCTGACGTTCAGGTGAGTTTTCCTCTACACCTGTGTTGTCTTTGTCCAGGCGGCACTTTGCGCTGGGATTGTGTGTTGTGCGCAATCGAGCCGTCACTGTCAAGACACCGTTGCTGACCGCAAGCCACTCCTGTAAGACCACATCCTGTACATAAGACAGGCTCCATACGACCACCGGTAATGGCAGAGCGCCATTAAATGTCCGGTTATTTCCCCGCAGAATAAGATTGCGCCGTTATTCTGTCAGCATGACGGATTACGCCAAGTCGGCGGATGTAGATTTTTAACGAGACGGTGCTGGATCGCTTTGTTTATCAAGCTGTGAATAGTAGATGATTCCCGTCCCGGTCGAACGGGTCGAACACTCCCCAAGCTATGCTCGGTTCATATTGTCTCGAAGCGTTTGACTCCGTAACTTCATTTAATTAACCGTTATCCCACTGCAATTATTCATTCACGCAATTGTTATGTTCTTTGTCGCACGTTTTGCGCTCACATGACTGTCTTCTGTCGCCAGCCGGATCCGCTCGGCAGCTCCGAACAGAAGTCAGACGGGCCGCTTCGTCAAGTACTCGCTGTACTGCTGGTGCTGCCCGCTGGTGCTCACAGCCGTGGTGCTCACCATGCAGTTCGCGCCCGACTGGCTGGTGCCGCCCGAAAACTTCATCAGGCCGCGGCTAGGAGAGCAGAGCTGCTGGTTTCCAGGTAGGTTTAGAGCTGCTGATTTCCAGGTGGGTTTTCACGCGGGATGACATTGCCAGGCGTAATGAAGACTGAATGACCAAAAGGGGATTGCCAATGGTGCAGACGGTGCCCCGACCGTTTGATCCGAACAGAAATGCACGTTGCACACTCGTGTTAGCACCAAAACCTAACTACTCGGTAAATCGGTTAGGGAAAAAGAGCGATGTTTTTGCAACAGAAATTAACTGCATGGGATATTTCAAGCCTTGGTCATTTTACGGTGAGCAGGAAATCGAGCCGAATGTATGGGTAACCACATTGTGTTATCAATCTTGGGAGTTCCGACGTCTTATGAACTTATATAGGCAGGAACAAATGCGTGCTCGTGCGCGCGATAAACGGTATAGCGCTAGCCATTGCTGTGGGCTTTCCAGGACTACTTGTTCGCTGGAATCGCATGTCTCATTCCTGGGAAAACTGGACTATGAGCTAGCGCCTAGACCCTCTTACAACGCCCTGCTTCTATGTGTGTTGCCTATTCGGGACGTTCAGTACAGCAAAGTTTATCGAGGTCGACGTACAGTCCATCTCCGTAAAGTGGCGTGCGGAGTCAACTTCATAGCCTGGCGCGGTCTTGGAAAAACACCATCACTCAGCGGACAGAACCGTAAGTGGTGGGGTTTCCTGCGTAACTGCCGTCTGGTCTGTGACAAACGAGAACCCGGACGAGTTGTGACGAACGTTTTGTCCGCAATGAGACGACGAGGGGAATTGGCTAGGCGCTGGGAGAGTGGGAGGAGAGTACCAACCGCTGTACCCAGCACACTGACGATAAAAACTCGGTCAGGCTATTCAAACAAAATCATCTCTTCATTCATTCTACGGGAGCACGATATTTCTCTGGCAGTGCGTACTCATAGGTACCTATACAATATACATCCATGCGTGTGGGTAAAGGTGCGTCTTACTGCTTTTTATTCGGGGCAATACTCTCTTCACCAATATCATATTTATGGAAGTCATAAAATGTAGCGCGGGCTGCCCTTTTATTCACTGGAAACCAATTTATAGTCATTTTTATGTTATCCCGATATTTAGTGATTGCTGCAACACTTAGTGGTGATCGTTTGAACTTTTAAGAACTTTTGTACAGTGCCGGAGCTGGGGTAGACCTATGGGCTATGTTCATTACGGCAATTGAAGGATCATCCCCCCATCGGTGTTGTATAATTCTGGCTGGCTGTCTTGGCCTCAGTTGGCCTCAGCCTTTGGGCCCTAATAACTGCGTCGCAGGGTGCCGTCTTCTAACGGATGTTCCATTACTTGAATTGCCGCGCATCGCGTGTGTTAATGCACGCTGTCTGAGTAATGAGGAGATCAGTAAGATGTTGGTATAAAATCGGCGAGACACTGTTGCCTGCTATACTTCGTGCGTGCCGCACGCATGGATAATTTGCGCCGCGGGAGGCAGACAATCGCATTTAGTTAGGACAGCGTAAGGAATAAGGAGCTTTGCACACGAAGTGGGTGTCGGAATTTCACACAACTAGTCCGTTTCGTTGATGAAAAGATATCTCTGACAGGTGATAATGTTTGTCTACTTTAAGTGGAACTGTGGCCCAAGATGGGAGCAATGATAGCGCATTGCGTGCTGTTACAAATTCACTTATCAAATGGTTGTATGTGGACGATTTCGCTTGCTTATCAAACAACAGCTCTTGAAACTGCTTCGGGGCTCGTTGATACAATTCCATCCAGATGCTACACTGGAATAGAATGTGTTTATACGATAGAGACCATTGGACAGCGATTGATGCGACACAGGTCGCGGGCCTGTTGCAGACAGCGTCCATTCTAACTCGATAAACACTGGAGCGCCTTGATACGTATACGTTTCAATACAAATTGCAAATATCTATTGCGAAACAATGTAGACATCTCCTAGGTAGTTGATCCGTTTGTACTAATTATAGCAGACAGCAGATAAGTCATATTTTTAAAGGACACAAATAATGGTGAGGAGACAGGATAGACTCAAGGTCCAGATAATATGTGTTGAGGTGCGCCCGTAACGCGAGAGACGTGACAAGCACACGAGGCCGTGACGACTGTTACGTGACGCCGGCCCGCTGGGCTAGCTCGCCGCCGTCTGCCATCACGTCACATCAGTTACGTGACGTGACTGGCTGTTTGCATGCAACTCTACCCGAATAACAAGCTGAAGCTCACGTGGCTTTTGGCCGGGCAGTATCCTTGCGTAATCCGGTGTAATGAAAGGTATGCTAGAGCTCAAATGATATAGCGACAAAAAGGGTGACAAGCTCAAAGCCAGCCAGTTTGCTAACGAGCGAAAAACATTCAACTTGTCTAAATCTCAAAAGAGCAATTACAACTACAACTCTTATATGAAATATCTCGTATTTTTCCTTTAGGGTCACCGTGCCAATCCACCAATGAACTGAACTCTTAAAAAGTGCACGTACGATGCACACACAATGCACGACCTGAGCATTTGAGCAGTGTGCACTTTGCACAGTGCACATATCACAACCATGTAGGTAAACATAGTCGTATAAGCATCGATACCGATATTACACCAACCTCCTCCAAACGGCGTCACCACGGTACGTTTGAGGTCTGCACGCTTGTCTGAGCGGCTTTGATATCATTTGTCAGTAGGTTACAAAGCATGGCCCAAAGCGAGACCATAACGGTTCATTTCGCCGAAGCGTCCCACAGCCCAGACTCTTGGTTGTCACTCGGGATCCATATAGCTCAGCTTGCAGTTCGTTTAACGGCTGAATGTGAAAGGGAAGCTGGAAACGTATTTGAGGCGTATTTTTTCAAGCTGATCCGTTTGACATATTCCCTATGCAGTATGCACCTATCATATATAGGTTCACACGCATTCATGCATGTAACACACATATGGGCATGTTTCCTTTGGAACAGCTCCACGTCCACGCTCGTGGCTAGTGAACGTTTACCCGACAGTGAAGGTAGCTCTACTCTGGTAGGCCTGGTAGGTACCGCCGTAGATCAGACGACGTGATATCAGTTTACGCGTGTAGTAGCATGAATGACGTCATTTATGTTCGGTGATGCGGCGGCGCCGAAGGGCTATCACTGGCTGTTTCTGTTGGCGCTCGTTGGGTGATCGAGTCAAGGGTAAGAGGCTTCAGGTCGTCACAGCTCAGGCAGCCGACCGACCGACTCTGGCCGAAAGGAGCGGTCAGGACAGGGCCACACGGACGGGGAAACGTCCATGTGCACAGTCTTTGAGAAGCCACCGGCGGATTCAGGTTAATCCCTCGGTCGCGGGCACAATCCCCTCCCCGTGGCGTCCGAATTTAAAGCATTATTTACAGGGGTTTATAACTCCCCCCTCCCCGTGTCCACCAAGATGGGTCAGTGACGACCGTCTTTGCAAGAGGTCACAATCATAAGTCACTGGTAACCGGAGCAGCACATTCGTATTTCGTGCGCTTTGATAAAGCTGTTTTTGCCGACTGAAACGCACATATTCACCTACTGACCCCATTGCTCCTGTCCTATATTTCGATATCCACCAGCCGTTTTTGTTGCCAGTCCCGGTAAAGAAGACGTTGCTCTGGTTTCCTTCCGCTATCCGGCTGTACCGCGCGCTGATTCCTCACATTGCTTTGTTGCTCAATGCTCATTCATTTATGACGTGTCTGACATATTGCAACCAGCGGAAGATGAGTCATCGTTTGCGACATTTCAGGGAGCCTGGAGATGCTGGTCTACTTCCACGTCCCCATTCTGGTGCTGATGACGGCTAACCTCGTCTTCTTCGTGCTCACCGCCAAGAACCTTCTTCAGACCGAGAAGGATACTCGCATGGCCGGCAGGCAGAAGAAGGGCATTGAGAAGTACGTACTTCTCGGTTTCATAGGGTTTCATTGAAGGTGCTGCCGAGTTCCGCATTTTTATGGAAGCTTTTTGTTTCCTCAATTGTCTGGCATTACCCGCGGAACATGCCTATTCTCGCAAACTACGGAGTACCTATAGTCTATACTGATGCGTGTACCTATTTGCTTGCTTAACCGGCCCCTATCATTACTAGACTGATGCGAATGAAATGAAAACATGCCTGCAACCACCCTTATTTAGTCTGTCACCTGACACCATTTTCTGTTGCAGGTTCAAAATCTACGTGAACCTGTTTATTGTGATGGGCGTGGCGTGGATAGCCGAGGCGCTGTCCGTACACCTGGGACCTAAGGAGGTCTGGTGAGTGTCTGCCTGTTCTGCGGGTCCTAATTGTGCCCACTGCCCATTCATTAAGCTGCTAATTATCGCTGTCAGTGGAAAACCCGTGACGAACTTATCGCGTCAGGGCGCGCCAGCTGCGCCTGCGAGCCACACTGCTGTTGGCCCAATCTGCCGTCTTATTGACAGTGCAGAGACCAGTTGTACCCAATTACTTGACTTCATAGTCTCATTTACAGAGTACCATCTGATCTTTGTCACCACGCAACATAACACAGTCATGGACTGGGTAATTAGTCCGATAGACTTTTCCCTCCCATTTTACATGGCAATAAAACCGCATTCTCTTTTCTCTTACAAATATTGACGCACACATCGGTCAGGGTTCGATACGTGCTACATGAACTGTGGAGTTGTTCTCAAGTTATTTTAATGCCCATACATCGCACAACGGTGCATACCTACATTAGTACATTTTAATCCGTCGAATGTCACCGAAGGGTGTTTGAGAATGCATTCGACCCCTGTGACCTTTCTAAGTCTAATAACGTCGTCAGTGCTGATGCCTTTGTGCGGTTTACTGTCGTAAGTTTCTGGCGCGTGTCTTGCCGCAATTTATGGGCGACGTTTCTGTCAACATCACCAGGCCACTTCCTGCCGTAATGGGATGGCTCATGGCATTGGTAATGAATGGCCCAGCGCCAGCTAACAGGTATCCAAATTTGAACCTGTTCCTTACGGCTCGCGAGATCCACCTCTGCATCGATAGATTCTGATCCATTTTCGCACTTCTTTTAGGCGCAATAAATCACTTTCATCCTGCCGATTAAATTTAAACCGTCTTTGTAAAAAAAAAAAAACATGAAAAAACATGAAGTGCCAAAGTGTCATCCGATGCAGACAAGCTGCATCCATGAGTCAAGGACGTGGCCACCGTCATCGTCGTCATCCTACAGTATCATTTAATGTTGATCGGCTGGTTGATCGGTTTCCTTTCCTTTCTACAGGATTATAACGGACGTCTTCAACGCTCTGCAAGGCTTCTTCATCTTCATCTTGTTCACGCTCCGCCAAAACACGCGCAATACTATCCGCAGGCACTTCGCCTCCTCCCCGCTATGCGGCCGCTGCTGCCCGTCCACCGTCCATCTGCCGGGCTTCTCTTCGTCCCGCAAGACGGCGAGCACCTCCGTGCCCTCTGGGGAGGCTGGGGAGGCCTCCCAGCAGCACCGACAGCAGCAGGGGGAGGCCGGGGAGGGGTCACCAGCGCGGGAGACTGCCGCACTGTGCGGCACCGCTGCGGATCCGGAGCAGGAGGAGGAGGTTATCGGTAGGGAAGACGCAAGCTAATTGGTCCGTTTATTGAACTTTGTTGTTGCTTATTTATGTAATACGAAGGATTTATATTTTTGTTCAGTGTGGTTGAAGCGTCGATGCTTCAAAGTGGTGAGATTATAATTGGAATCATCAACTGAGTTGTTTATTGTTTATCGAGGTTGTTGTTTATCGAGACTAGGCGTAGTAAATGTTTCCTACATGCCGGGGTATGTCTTAAGCACAGCACGAGCCGGGCAGTAAAACTATGACCAAGAAACTGTCGGTGTCAGAATGCCATGTTATTTGATAGGCCGGGCAGGAAACAAAAGTTTACTGCCCGAGTTTACTGCCCAGGGCAATGACCTCTAAACTACAGTTTATCGCATTAGCCCAGAGGTATAATTGATAGGGAATGTATAATTGACATCATTATTGCATGATATTTGCCGCGTAAAATTAGAAAACTAACATTTTTTTTTGGTAAAAAAATATCTGCTCTGCTTATTAAGGGTTTTGAAATGCTTAGTATTGGTTACAAAGCCGAAATTATGGCAAGATATGCTCCTATTAATCGAAATCCGTTATCGCTTGTTTCTTATCTTCGTTTGATATGTCCACTGATACCTTGGGCCTAAGTTATTGCGTTATTATTTGACAGTTGTAGTCCTTTCCTCGAGACAAACATGTAAAATATGGAAAATATAATGTATTTCACGAAAGTTTAGCCATAGGTCATCAACAAAGTACGATTACATAAATAAAGAAAAGATTCTTGCAAGGGCACTGGAAAATTCACGTTTAATCACTAGGAATATTACACCTTCTACCTTCTTCTTGTTCTTATGTCGTGGCAAATTATTCATGCATGATGTTCCTTGGATATCCAATTGTTGTGCCATTCTGAGTTGATATTTTCAGACGCGAATCTTTTTGAAGTGAGGTATTTTGATGCATTTTCTTCTATAAATTTCCTTTAAAGCTTTATCCACAGCAGTAGCGCAATCACTGTTCGGAAACTATGGACAAAACAATTGTATAAGTGTCACCAAAACCTGTCGAAACTACTTAGCATGTATGCGGCATGTAGGAAAAATCTTACTGACCTCAGCCGTACGAAATTATTTGGAAACTCGGTTTGCAAAATTTGACTCCGGCCCTCGTGCTTCGCACTCGGGCCTACGTCAATTTTGCAAACCTCGTTTCCAAATAATTTCGTCGGCCCGGTCAGTAATATATATTCGCGACTGCCGCTCATGTTTTCAGAAGTCACTGTAATGCGAGTGAGAGACATTGGCTAACGCGTCGCTTTCAGTGAGCAGATCATGATGAACGTACGTTTGGTCTCGAGATGAGGGTACCAGCGACCAGCAGCTGAAGTCTGGACGCGGTGAATTTCTCACCTTTTCCCCTACTCGAGTGGGATCGGGATACACTTGGTCTGGGTCTGACTGCTGGGTTGCTTGCACAGCCGATAGTGGAAGGTATCCAGGCCGGATCCTAACTCTGGTCACTGGAACCCTCATCCTGAATTGATTCATGTGATGTTAACGCTTTCATTGTTGCATTGGCTAATGTTCACGGTTGACAGGTAACCTGTCCCTCATGCGCTCTGTGGTCAATGGTATATTACCATACCACACCATACGATGTAGCTTGTAAAGATGTTTCTCATGCCGCCCGGTAATGCTAGGTTAGAGTGTTCTGTGATCGATTTCTGTTGACTGTTGGCAGTATTGGCGCTTCATGTGTTTTATCAATCATATTGTTAAATGTCACGCAGTGAAGCAGCTTGTGCAAACAATATTAATCACAATATCGCTAAGTTGATGTTGTGCGATGGCTTCCCACTGCAAACAGGGCGAATTTAGCACGGATACCGTTTATTGAAGATGATTACTGGGAACTGTGAGGGATGATGCTCGCTAACCACGCATTTACATTTTAGATATCCCATTAGAGAATATTGACGGCTGTATTTAAACCCGTGTATTTTTTGAACCTATGACTGAATATACGATTCAACTTAACGTTAACATCGAACAACTGGCAAAAAGAGCGCCAAAGATGAGGAAACATGGTGATGACGGCTAACACACGATCACATCTGTTCACACAATCTACTAACATGACGGAATTATCCCAATTCATCCGTGGATTCCTCGTTGTGGGAATTCAAATAATGAAACCGCCTGCAAACGAAGGCCCCGACACGGACGTGCCACAATGACTACACAGATACGACCGCCCAAGCACGTGGTGTCCCCAAATGTTCCCACCAACCGGTGAGATGATGGAGCTCTCCTGGGCGCCCGCAGCGCCGCGCCGCGGCCAACAGGAGAACTTGAGCTTGGCCGCCTGCCGGTAGACGTCTCTCAGCTTACCTGGAGAGGCTCCGCCGCGCCGCCCCACCGCTGGAAAAATGCAGCACCCAGTCTAAATTGTGCACCCCACAGGGACAGACCTTGCTAATTCACACACGTCCGGGACACGGGGGAGGCTGTCAGTCCACTTGATCTGTTTTAAAACGTCCACTGAATGTGTAGACCAGCGACCGACTTTTTCTGTGGTTTATCAAAGGCTATGACAGAAGGCAGAGCTGTGTACCAGCAAGCAAGATCAGCGAGCTGGAGTATTCAGAGACAGCCTCCCTCGCGATCACTGACGTCTACCGCCACCTCATGAGCTATCTGGAGGTGAGGGACGAAGAAACAGCGGTGGCGGTGCGCCTAATCACTGCATCGGACCCGTCATCTGATAGGCTTAGGGAATAGCGGGACGTAAAATTTCTTTGGATTGAGGATAAAAGTCATAATTTGCTCCCCTGTGTGATGCCGAAAATCGGAGACAACTTTGATAAGTGATGGCTGTTATAATTTCATTGTGGAGTAAAATATGGGGATATTCCCATGTCAAAAAGCGATATAATTAAAATTTCGCCATTTCGTTTGCCACCAGTTTGAATGCCAAAGCAGGAGCGGTATCAGATGATGATAACCATAAATATGATTGCGATCAGAACCGAGCAGCATTTGGGCGCGCACCACCGCTGTTACAGCTCAAGATCACACCTTTTCCACGCCACTCTGCGGGCTTCGAGAGAACTCGAGAGGTCTAAGAGCGCCCCGAGAGCCAGCCAGGGATGGTGTCACCTGTAAGGGGTGTCCTGGCGGACCTCGTGCCGCGGCACTCCAGCTCGGCTGCTCCTGAAAGGTGCGGCTGCCCCTCGGATTCCCGCGGGGCTGTCGTGTCCAGGGCTGTCTAGATCTGTGGTCGTCATCGGAACGTCTCACTTTCTTTTGTCTTACAGTCGGTCTAAGGAGTGTGTATGTTTTGAGGGCGACTAAATACCAGTTGGTTGTTCTTAATTGGCAACGTTTAGGAGTTGACAGTAATGTAAAATAACTTTAAACAGTTTAAACCATTGGTTGCCAACCACAAAATTGAAAGGAGCACAGCTGTTGTCATCGACCACGGCTGAAGGTTTTGTACAAAAAGGAGTGTCATGAAGAGAACTAACTACAATGAAACCGAAAAAGCTCGGAGCGAACAAGCCTAACGTGCGTATCTGGTACCAAAAGCCAAGAGGCTTCCCAGACACCATGATATAACTGTAACGTTTAACAGTGAAAAGTGTTCTCTACTCTAAACCTTAGTTGCAGGTAGGTTAGTAGCCTTTGGCGAGTATTGTAATAAAAGGGTAAATAACCGTGGATGAATATGCATTTGGTGCATTAAACGTCATAATAAGAAAACAAATGTATAATAATCTGGATGTTGAAAGATAGTAAACAATGTCGTGATGACTGATTTTTAGTAAATTGCAGTTCTAAATCACGACTTTCTGGTGCAAAATCAATTGATGGCTACCGATTTGCAAGTGACCGTTTTACGTTAGACCTCGATCCCCGATTGTGTCCCTGTATCCCGGGTCACGGGTGTGGTCTGGGGTTGGACTGACCTCTTTTTAAGCAGGGGACTAACCTCGGATTGTGCCCGTGACGCCGCCGGTGTTACCGTCACACTCTCTCTCTCAGTCTCTGTTAACGCAGCTCTCGCGCGCGCACCGCACGGCGGGCGCGGTACCTATTACCGACTGAGTCACCGTACGACCGGTCAGAGTACATCAGAGACAAAACAGCAGCAAAGTAAGCGATCGACGGTCATTGGACGCTCATACAGAGAAATAAGGACAATAGTGGACTGACACACACACACACACCTGTGAGGACCAGACTGCAGCATTCACCATCGCACAGAGGACAAAATGGCAACCGATAAAGAAGTAAGCTGTAAAAATCAACACCCCTACACCAAGGTTCTTAAAACGAAAATGCTGCACGCTCCTCAAGATCCTTTACAAGTCGACATTTTCGAAAAGTATCAACAGTCAACACAATATAAAAAACAATCATAGCAAAAAATCACAACACTGATACCAACAGGCAACTGTAGAAACAAGCTATAATTCCTCCGAAACAAGAGTACCACACAGATCTTTAACCTCCTATTAGCTCCTGAGTCCTGATACAACACAATAACCATGATAAACACAGCAGAAGTAACACAAGTCACAAACCCGATTCCACACTGCGTAACACCTCCTCTCAATCAGCGTCTGTAAAAGACAGAACCACCCTTCAACCGCCTCCACGCCCGCCTCATCCTCGTCGAACCATCCAGTTCCTCCTCCTGCTCTGCCCCGCGGCTGCTCCCGCTCCCGCCCCGCCCCCTCTCACCTGCTTCTGGTTCCCCTGTGAACGGTACAGCGCCTCTCTCGTGTCAGGTCAGCCAGGGCGGCGGCCGGCGCGGTGCTTACCTGTCCTCGGCTCGTCACTCGTCACCTGGGCTGGCGGAGACGGGCGGAGCGGCGGCGGCGGCGGCGGCTCCGGCTCCGGCTCCGGCGGCGGGATCACTCGCGGCGGTGGGGCTCTGGGCTCCATCGGCTGCGGGGGACGGGGGAGGGGGTCAGGAGCTGGCAGCGGTAGAAACGCACACGAGCCAGAACACTCTCACTCCTGACTTGAAATATATCTCTTGAATACTCGCATTGGTGATAAATAAACATGCATGCGTTTCGCTGAAATCACAAAAAAGTTGCAAAAGCTTTGAAGCACAATTATTGCGAGCTTAGAAATGCGATGCATTACTAAATATCAATGCATCATCGGCTTAGCGACAAGGTTGCTCTAACCAGCGCTTAACGAAAAAGTTGCCATCATCCTTACATTTGTGCGACTCGCCGTTCTGATCCATGGGCTCGTCCTTGCTGTCCGCCTCTCGCCTTCGCTTCGAGTCCGGCTCCTGCGAAGAGCGCTTGTCTCCCGATGCTCGCCGCTCTCGAGATCCGTCTCGGTCCCGGGATCTCCGCTTCTCCTTGGAGTCACGCCTTTCCTTGGAGTCACGCCTCTCCTTCGAGTCACGCCTGTCTTTGGAGTCACGCCTGTCCTTGGAGTCCCGTCTGTCCTTCGAGTCCCGTCTCTCCTTAGAACGTCTGGGACTTCGGCTGAAATCGGAGGATGCGTTTCACAGATACATCGCAAGTACAAGACCGATAGACGACTTATTATTTCTCACAAAACCTACGATTACCTGAAGTTATCTCAATCATCTTTAAGCAAAAGCATGAATGAGCCATCAAATGTTTAGCTACTGGCACTAATCTATAAAAATCATGCCGCAATATCAACCACCGCCACCGCGAGACTCAGTGCCGGCGCTCCCAGAAATGATCCCCACCTTCGCTCGCGACTGGAGCGCCGCGACGATCGGTGGCTCCTCTCGCGGCTCCTGCGCCGCTCCCGGCTCTTGCTGCGGCTCCGGCGCCGCTCCCGGCTCCGGCTGCGGCTCCTGGAACGAAGCAAACGGAGTCATGGACGCCACAGACGAAATGCAAACGAAGAGCGCCCACAAAAACTGCACGTCGCTGGACGAGCGCTGGGTAGGGGGGAGCATGAATTCTCAAATCTCAACCCCTTCCTAAAAAAAAACAGCACTTTTTTCAATATGTCACTCATATTACGCATTCGCAGGTCATCAATCGCAGATTTATAATTGTCATTGATATCAACATTGATCTTTTTGTAGGGCAAATTTTCTGATAATTTACTTTGGAAAACACCGGTCATGCAATAACACACAACTAATTAAGGGTGCGTTTCACGCGTAACGCTATGAGAAACGTTTTTCGTAAATATCTAGAGCATCGTTGCTTCGATTGCCTTCGTTTTTGGATATGTTATGAAGAACGTTAACCTCGTCATCACAGAGTGGTTACTGTTGTTCTGGCATCCACATATACTGAGCAATTGAGACAAACATATTGCAAAATCAAAATTTCAAACGAATAGAACTCAATAACGGATTGTCGTACGACTGTGATGTTTGCAGTTTTTGACTGACGAAACCAAGGAAAACATTTCCTAGCAAGCCTTTTTTCAAATTTTGTACTATGTTTTGCATGATACAATTTTCATCTTGCAGAGCATTGCATAAAAGCCCTGACAACAATTTCAAAAATGTGGCTGCTAGGAATCATAAAGACATCGATTCTCTACACAATCCTGTATAGAGAATCATCATTGCATGCATCACTATACAGTTCTATTCATTTGAAAGTCATTGCACAGCTAGTTCATAAAATCGCCGAGAGATGTCTCTGGCTGTATGGCCCGCGCGTTTCGACGGTCCCCTCGGCTCGTCACTCAGCGGCGTTTGTTGACACAGTGTCACACCCATTAGTTACGGCGCTCCGCTGGCCTTCGGCCGCCGTCGAGGTACTCTGAACCCAACCCTCCCCGCTAAGTCTCGCCGTGACCAGACGGGTCGGAGACTCATCCCACGATCTATCCATGAGCGGCGCCCAGCCAGGCGTCTCCTATCGCGCGCCTCTCACTCTTGATCGGGAGTACGCCGGGAAGAGCTTGTGAGAAACTGACAACTTTGAAAGATGTCACAAGTTTGTGTGAGTGGTAGGTATTACGAACAGCGAACAGGTATATTTTGACAATAGGTATTTGACCTGACCTGGGCAGTCGGTAGACGGTACTGAACATAGGTAATGAAAATAACCAGCAATATCTACAAATTCCATGGAGACATAGACCCTAAGTGACGTGAGACCAAATATCAGTTCGATTGTTATGTCAAAACCCTCGCCTTGGCAGGGTATTTTTCATACCCCTCCCCCGGCGTTTCGTTCGAAACTAAGCGTCGTAGCTCGCTTCGCAACAAAGAGCAGTCGATTGCTCTCAACGCGTACCTACTCGCGATTGGTGGTATATCTTTTTACCCTAATTCAATATTTGACCCAGTTTTGGCAGGTCAAAGGTCAAATTTCGGGGAAAGCTGCAATTGTCCAAATTACTTAGCCAATATTGGCGAATCTATGAAAGATAGCGACATGAAACCTTCATGGCCGTGTTTCTCAACGAATTAGCAACAAAATGATAATGATAAATAATTGATTACATTTCAGCCAAAATAGCGTCTCTGGAGATAGGACTCGGGATGGTATCTACTGTAGCTCTGAAGCGGTTACAAAATGAAAAAAGTGTTTTTTAAAGCATATGCGATAATCCGGCACTATACAGTAGTGTAGCTCATGCTGATAGCTCATGCAATACCCCAAGTTTCGAGCATCTAGGATATACCTGAACTGGGTGACCTAAACTTCTGAGACCGGGGTTCCACAATTTCACACACGATTGCGATGAGAAATTGGTGTATGATAAGCTATGCCAAGTTTCGCGGCGCTTATACGGGCAAAAAAACTTGCAAGTTTGACCAAAGAACGCCCCACTTCCCCAAGCGCGGATTAACCCTCGCCCGTAAACGGTGTTTTGCCACCTTCGCCCATGCAGGGGGGGGGCGACCCCCCCCCCCTGGCGTTTGAAAACGGAGCGTCGTAGAGCTTAGCGGAAAAGACCAACAGATTGCTCTCAACGAGATCTCGCGATTGGTGGTATATGTTTTGGTCCTAGGTCAACATTTGACCTACTTATGACCGGTCAAAGGTCAAATTTTCGGAAAAATCTAACTTTTTCAGATTTCCGCGGCGATTGCGGCAAAACGGTAAGAGATATCGACTTGAAACCTTCACTATCGTGATCCTTGATCAATTCTCTATCGTTTGGTGTGTATTTCGATGTCATAACTCTAAAAATGATGCGTTGGGAGCATCGGAAGTCTGCAAGGTCATTTGTGCATTGGGTCACGTCAGGCGTGTGACGTCACTGACCTGACCCTGACCCAAAATGAACTACAAGAAACAACCGACGATGCCTGAAATGGATAGCAAATTCGAATTCAGGGCATAAAAATACCCCGAAAAGGCATACAAGTGCAAGAAGTCATTACAGGTCAACCGAGGTCACTGACCTGACCTTGACCTTTAGTAACCTTGAAAAGGTCAACGGACATTGTGCCAATGTCAAATCAGCCAGTTATGATTCTAAAACAATCCATCAGTGTGTCAGGTCAGTCGGCATTTATACCAATGTGAAGCAATCTCCAACTTAGCGTAAATCTGGCCGGAGGTTGTTCCCTTTATGACGTCATAACTCCGTGACCTGACATGACCTTGACAAAAAAAAAATACCAAAAGTTGCGCAAAGGATGCCCCATAGGGTACTGAAAATTTGAGCAGGCTATCTGAAACGGTTCGGCGTGTAGCTAAGAAAAACCTCAGGGGGGGGTGCACCCCCCCCCCTACATGGGCGAGGGTTAATGAAGCTATCACTATGAATGTGACTGAAGCTCCTTTCCTGTACCTCATTCTGTTAGCCCTTTCATTTTTCCGGTCTTTCCCTATCCGTGTGTGTCCGCGTGGGTTCTGCCCAATGTTATTCGACTGAGAGCATGACATCTGGTCCTTTCCGCCCGGCCTGACCGGCGCGGCGGACCCGTGCCACTCCTCCCCGAACTCCCGGGGCGCGGATTGGGAGGGGCTCTCCGCTAACAGATGGATGGACAGGGGAAATGTGATACTTGTCCTACGACAACAAACCGGCGTTCAGCGCTAGGGCCATCTACTGGTCTAGAAACGTATCTCTATGTCGGCAAGATCCTCGCCAGGTGGTGTAAAGGTCGCGTGAAACGCACCCTTAAGTAGGACGTACTGAAATCATTGGCGATAATAGGTGGCAGTGCCATAGCTCCTACCTGTGCTTGCTGCGACGATCCTTGTCCCTGTCGCGATCCCGGTCGCGACTTTTCCCATCACGATCCCGGTCGCGACTTTTTCTGTCGCGATCGCGACTTTTTCTGTCGCGATCGCGACTTTTTCTGTCGCGATCGCGACTCTTTCCATCACGATCCCTGTCGCGACTTCTTCTATCCCGATCGCGACTTTTTCCATCGCGATCCCTGTCGCGACTTTTCCCATCACGATCCCGGTCACGACTTTTTCTATCGCGATCGCGGTCCCTGCTTCTGTCCCGCCGGCGGTCTCTACTGCGGTCTCTACTGCGGTCTCGCCGGTCCCGGTCCCGATCGCGGCTCCTGTGACTTCTATCGCGATCACGATCGCGGTCGCGGTCTCGGTCTCTGTCACTGCCGCGACTTCGCGCACGGTCCCGGTCCCGACTTCGATCTCTTGTGCGATCACGATCGCGATCACGGTCTCTGTCGCGATCTTTGCCGCGGCTACGCTCTCGGTCTCGGTCCTTGTCGCGACTTTTTCCGCGACTCTTCTCTCGCTCCAGCCTTTTCTTCTCCTCCTCTTCCTGTTTCCGTCGTTCTTCCCGCTCCTTTTCTCGTTTGGCCTCGCGCTCTTGCTTCTCTCTCAGCCGAAAATCCTGGGAAGACAGCACAGAAGTGTCACAAAAGGAAAGTGTTTAAATTTGGAAGCCCTTCATAAAAAAACACTGCAGTGAAGAGTTAGCTATAAAACACACTTCGTAGGGGGAAGAGGTGGCAACGCGCGCCCTTATCTCTACCTGTCAAACTCAGAACTGAAAACAAAAGAAACTAATGGACAAGGCCATCTAAAGAAGGTACAGTCACTCGCCCGCCAACCAATCAGACAAAGATCCTGAGTGACGTCCTGAGGCCCCGTTAGGATGTCATCAAAAGTGGAGTGACATGGGCCTGCTAATGGATATGTCGGTGTCCAACACACGGCCACTCACGCGCAGTTCGTCGACGGCGTCTCGCAGTTTGGCGTATCCCATGTGCATTTTGCCGGTGAGGTGGTCGTCGATACGCTGCTGGGCGTCGCCGACGATCAGGAACGAGCCGCAGATGTCACACACCTGCATCTGCTTCTCCTGTGAGGCGGCCATTTCGGCCGCCTGGTGCCACACCGAGCCCTCATTGGCGCGACGCAGCTGATCGCGCTCGTCCTTGAGCTTGTCGCACAGCTTCATAATGCCCTGGGCCTCCTCCACCTGTGTGCCAGGGAGCAGATGTCAGAAATCAGCGACGGTTACTGCATGATGCATGCGCTTCAATATCGCAGAGGTACCCATATCATAACCAGCCTTCTAGTTCTAAAAACGATGCACATATGTTCGAGCGTTTTATGTTGTTTGATTTATGGTCAAGTCTTAGGTACACATGGCCAAAATGTGCGATTAACTCCACCTCACCCCTAGGATCACTTTCATTACTCGCTATATCTCGCACAGACCTGGCCCTTGCATCCGAGTTCCTCAGCCTCCTCCACGAGTTTGTTGATTTTCGTGGTCAGCATCTGGATCTTCTCCTCGTGTCGGCTGAACTGCGGTGGTACCAGTGAGGCCAGTTTGCGGTCGTTGGGCTGCAGCTCCAGGCGCTGGCGCTGCTTCTGGATCTTCTTCTCCACTTCATTCAGCATTGACTGCAACAAGAATAAGCATACCTATTGAAGGGATTCGACATTCCACAAAACACAAAATTATAGTTACAAATTGTGACAGCAATATTCAATGCGAAGAACTTGATAACAATATATGCATATTAAAAACACAGTAGGAAGAAAATAAAGTAGTTTTTGCTTATCACCAGCGAATTATCAATAGAAAAACACAATTCTAACGAATAAAATTTGTCTATTTCAAACAACCTGTGGTTACATTCGCCTGCAATTACCTGGGCAAAACGGTTGAACTCGTCCTCGTAGGGCTGTCGTTTGAACGCCGGCAGTTTGTCAAACTCTGCTTTGACGTCATCATCGTGGAGCCCTCCGCACGAGCCAAGGTCGGCCTTGGTGTTCGTGAAGAGATCATGTGGACACAGCTTTGCCAGGAACATATGGCACATCTGGGGACAGAGTGATGATATGACATACATCAACGTTGAACCTTTAAATTCGTTGTTTAAAAGGAAAGACGGTACCTCCCCTAAAAATACCTACATTACCTTTTCCTACGTTCCTCTGCACAAAATGAAATGGAAGCTGCATTTTACATGGATTTTTTTTACACATTTCTAATGATGACACAGACGACGAGACAGCGTCCGTCGCCATCTACACCCAGAGAAAATCTAGACGTCACATAAACCGAACAAAAGAGCGAGCCGTCAAATAAACCCACTGAGTCAGCCCACTTCGCTGAGCTCAATCAACGACTCGTCGCTGGAAACAGTTCGCCAGTCCCAACTGAAGACTCGGAGTCGGCGCCCGTCGGACTGGGAGTGCCGAGGGACTGCCAGGCTCGGACGAGTGACACGCTCAGGGATGTGTCTCGAAGGGGCGAGGTATGTGTCCCGGGGGCGGTGGGCGGGGACGAGGGGCGGGTCCCGGGACCAGTGGGCTGGACCGCCATTCAAAGGTCAGCAGTATTGCATGTGACCTATGGTGCTAAGATAAACCATAAAGACATAATTTGCTAGACGCTAGTATGAACATAATTCCATATGTCACTCCACATAAACACCATTCCACAACTATAGTAGAGGTTGGGGATTAATTGCTTGACCAACATGCTCAGATGGCTAAAAAAGGAGTGACAAAGAAAAAAGATTACTTCTTTTTACCAGGGATGCCCAATGACTCCCAAACATCACATGGCCATGTTTTTTTTTTAAATTCCAAAGTTGATAAATTTTGAAAATTTAAAAAAAATCTAACGTCAAGTATGTTCCTTCACTAAAATTGAAACTGTTCCAACAGAGGAGCAACCTCTGCCCATCTATCCTTTCACTGAAATGGCAGCACTTACCTCTGGTGAGTCCCATGTTAGCTTCTTTTCCTGTTCATTTGGCATCAGGTTTCGACTCCTTCCCATCAGCTCATTGAGCAGTTTGGCAGCATAGTCAGTCATGTTGACAACCTTTAAGACTAACTATAGAATTATTCAGCTTATTTCTTGACAATCCTGAAATGTAAGAAAAACAGTGACTTGAAAAGACACATACATGAGTCCCATGCCAAACATCTTCATCCATTAAAGCAAACAATGACAGAAGATTCTTTTTTCTATCATATGACAAATATACTATGGATGCTGGTTTTTCACCATTCAGCCAGAGTTGAAAAAGTCCATACCCTACACTGGGCATCCCAGCCCCAGGACATCTTTCATGAGCCAAAATTCAGTGCAAATAATTTTGCTCCAAATATATGGCATAATTTGCAGTGTAAGACATTGGTTACTTAAGGCTCACTAATTCACTAGTGCCTTTAACCTTTTATAATGTCTAAGTAAATACACATACTTATGGGTTATCTGTCATAAACAGTAAGAAGTTTGGCAACAAATAAAAGGAGACTTGGTAAAAGGCAGGTTGAACAAGAATGATTTTATGTAGAAGTTCTTTAAAATGGAGAGGACAACACACAGTCAGTACATGGATACTAGTTCATAAATATGCTACATTTGGCTTGGGTACCTATGCCAGGCATTGCTTGTTCAGCACATCCCCTTGCCATTCCCGATTGCCACATTTTGAATCTGCCAGCGATTACAGTGGAATCTGAAAACAGGGCGTCTGGGTCGATTTGGTCAAGGATCTTGAAATTCATTTGATCTAATCATGTAACAATTAGGCTGTTAAGTGTTAAAGGCACCAAGACCTGGAGAATGTCCCAATAATCACATGGCTAAAAATTCCCTCTGGGGCCATGTTTACATTTCCACCATGATTACCTGGTTGAAGTAGTTAGGGTATTAGTAAGTCTGGCATTCCAGGAAGATGCCAGATTGGGAGGATGGAAATGTTATAGACCAAAACAAACCGGTATTCTTATAGCAGGCGTCTCACATGCTGCCACCGGTTTGGGAAAAGTCGCTAGATTCGTCAGGACTCAGGTCTAGAGATGTTTCTACCAATTCGCTATATAGGGTAATTACATAGCGGTGATTTAAAAAACGGCGTCAGTTTTTTTTTCTGAGGGGGCAGGGAGGGGGGTACAACAGATAACTTGTTTCCCGGGAACGCCTGATCGGAGTCAGGCTTGCAAGGCCGCGTTGGAAAGCGTTCGAGTAGGTAAGCCTAATGGCTAATAAGTAACGCGAATTATCATCGGATACGGGATACTGGGGGAGGGGTGCGTGGGGGGATTGCCTCTTGACCGATAGCTCGGGAACGGCTGATCGGAGCCAGGCTTGCACAAGGCGACGTTGGAAAGCGGTCGTGTAGACAAGCCTAATTAGTAATGCAGACTAACATCGGGATACTGGGGGGGGGGTCTGCGTGGGGGGGGGGGTTGCCCCCTGACCGATAGCTGGGGAACGGCTGATCGGAGCCAGGCTTGCCAATTGCCCCCCTGACCGATAGCTCGGGAACGGCTGATCGGAGCCACGCATGCAATGCAGCGTTGGAAAGTGTTCGAGTAGACAATCCTAATTAGTACCGCCCCCCCCCCCTCCCCCCCCACGCGACCCTCCCCCTAGTATCCCGATGATAATTTGCATTACCGTAAAATGGGGTGTTAAGGGACAGTGGGGTGATAAGGGACAGTTGCGTGGGAAAAACTTTGAGTCATATTATGTTCCTAATTTGAGAAGGTTAAATAAAAACTTGAGTGTGGTAGTTGACACTGTTTTGTTCTCGACTATAGGACAAAATGTCATGGTTTTTCATGCAAGTGATTTGGTTCAAAAATGGTTTTGAAAATCATGCTACATTTTCTTAAAATTGAAACATCTCCAAAACTCTGTGTGTACCACATAAACTGGTAGGTGTACAGGGAAAATGAATGCATAGGTGTATTGTCACATGTATTGCTCATGTTTCCTGAAAAACTTATACAAATCCACTGATTCATTCATCATCCTCTTCCTCTTTTCTGGACACATGCATATTTTGAGATGGATGTGGGGTGCTAAGGGACAGGGAAGAAAAAACAAAAAATAATATCTAAATATAATTTCATAAACTTTTCTTTCAGTGGGCATGGAAAACACCAAATTCCACATAAAATGTTGGCAAGCTCATGCTTTTATCTCTAACACATCTTAACTTATATCACAAAACACCTCAAAACTCCCTATCACTCTCTTTTACAATGATTGATCAATGAAGACTGATGTAGTTAAATGTGATGTCATCATAAAAAGGCCAAAACAAAGAGGGCAACATAATGACAAGTGACTAGCTTCAAAATGGGTTTTTTGTTGATAACAGAAGGGTACTTTTTGGTTCTGTTAACCTTATAATTAGCACATTTCCAGAAGCATAAACTGCATAGCATGTAATTGGCTAAAAAGGCCATTAGTGGTGAATGAACCTGACTTAGTTTGTCACAGAATATGCAAAACATTTCAATAAATAAATTGTGTGCCCTTTCACACCCCAATTGTGGGCATTTGATGACCATTTCTTGGAATAATATAGGTGTCCCTTATCACCCCACATTGGGGTGCTAAGGGACAGTAATGAAAAATAATAAAAAATAATATGCAGGGATATATTTTAAAAACTTTAATGTAGCAGGTATGTAAAGCACCAAATTCCACATAAAATGCTGACAGTTTGATGCTTCTACCTCCAACCCTTCTTGAGTTATATAACAAAACATCTCAAAACTGTCCCTTAACACCCCATTTTACGGTACTAATTAGGCTTGTCTACTCGACCGCTTTCCAACGCCACCTTGCATCCCTGGCTCCGATCAGCCGTTTCCGAGCTACCGGTCAAGGGGCAATCCCCCACGCACCCCCCCCCCAGCATCCCGATGATAATTTGCATTACTAATTAGGATTGTCTACTCGGACGCTTTCCGACGCCGCATTGCAAGCCTGGCTCTGATCAGCCGTTCCCGAGCTATCGGTCAGGGGGGGGGGGGCACCCCCCCCCCAGTATCCCGATGTTAGTCTGCATTACTAATTAGGCTTGTCTACTCAACCGCTTTCCAACGTCGCCTTGCAAGCCTGGCTCCGATTAGCCGTTCCCGAGCTATCGGTCAAGGGGCAATCCCCCCACGCACCCCCCCCCAGCTTCCCGATGATAATTTGCATTACTAATTAGGCTTGTCTACTCGACCGCTTTCCAACGTCGCCTTGCAAGCCTAGCTCCGATCAGCCGTTCCCGAGCTATTGGTCAAGGGGCAATCCCCCACGCACCCCCCCCCCCCCACCTCCCCCAGTATCCGATGATAATTCGCATTACTAATTAGCCATTAGGCTTGTCTACTCGAACGCTTTCCAACGCGGCCTTGCAAGCCTGACTCCGATCAGGCGTTCCCGGGAAGCAAGTTATCTGTTGTACCCCCCTTGCCCCCCCAGAAAAACTGACTCCGTTTGAGAAATCACCGCTATGTAATTACCCTATATTGATATATCGAATTGGTAGAAATATCTCTAGACCTGACGAATCTAGCGACTTTTCCCAAACCGGTGGCAGCATGTGAGACGCCTGCTATAAGAATACCAACAAACCTAAACTTACCTGACCTAACCTTACCTACAAACCTACAACCTACAATTTACAAACCTACAACATACCCTACAAAACCTTCAACCTACAACGGTATCTGGCATCTTCCTGGGATGATGATGATGATGAATTGAGGTTTTTGGGCGCCCGGACTACAGTGGTCATCAGTGCCCATCATCTTCCTGGGATGCCAGGCTTACTTCAACTTAAGCCATAGTTTGAGTTAGTGCGAGAAAGAGACAATGAGCCCATTAGCACTGGCCGTAACATGGTGTTTCTAACAAGTCTCTACTTCACATATTCTTCGATGGTTTCGATTCAGTGCTCTTCGTGTCGTTTTACGAGATAATTTTGTAAACTGCAAAGTGTCATTATTTCAATTTCCGGCACAGCTTGAGCTCAAGCTAGGGATCCGCAACAAGCCCCACGTAGAGTAGACGCGGCTTGTATTTCATACTAAATGCCGTCAGACTATAAAGAATAATCAACAAAAACCCTCACAATCTATTTGTATGATGCAAATTTCAATTTAATAATAAATTCTGAACATTCATTCACTTGTATCTTGCTAGTTGTTGCTAGTATTCACAACATTTTAAGGAGAAATCACGAGCCAAATAGCGCACGCTTGCGGCGCTTTCGCTTATCACTTGTTTAAAGTGGTGTAGAAATTTGCAGTGAATTTGTCGATGATATTTTAGTGGTTTTCTGCAGTTTTTGCACCTTAAAACATCAATCTTCAATCAGTTTTGGCTTTAGACCTTTTCGAAACAAATTTGTTTTTAACATAATTGCGATATATGTTTTTTCGGTAGAATATATAATGTTGTTCAGCAGTATAATTATCCTGGGCTCTTTTCTGGCGCATGCGCTCTGAATATGACGCCATAACCCGACTCGCTATTGTGATTGGTCGGCTGGTCGATGCCTATCTCTATACGGCCTTGGGTCGATGCCCTCGGGCGATAGCAGAAATTTGTGATAACCCGGGTCAGGTCACGCATTTTGTCGGTGGTCGTCGTTCCGTGTGGAGGGGCTGCTAGTTTTCAACCAGTTTCCGTCCAGTTTCATTTCAGCCTGGAGCGAATGGTGGCCAGCTAAGTGATAGGTAACAAGTTCATGAATATATATTCTGCTGAATTCCAGCAGTTTGCATCCGATAATAACTCAATAGTCTATTGAAGCCATCGATTGATTATTGTGATAATTTAAATGACTTTAGAATAACAAAATTCAGGTAAGTGCTGAGGACTTCTGACTGCTTATATAAAAGGCCACGTCATGGGCCGCAAGAAGAAGAAGCAGCAGAAGCCATGGTGCTGGTATCCTTTTTGTTTTGTTTGGTGTTTTTGCTGAGATGAATCGTAATCATTTTATGGCTTTGTGCTGGCTGATTCCCAGTTGTGCTGTGGCTAATAGCTGCCTGAATATGGATTTATTCTGTAGCTAGCACTTAGCAGCACTTAGAACATTGACACATCTTCACCTAAGGGCCTGATTTTCAGCCATTTTTTGCCCACTTCTTGTCATGAGTTTGCACTAATCTTGAAAATGTCAGTACTAGGTAGGTACAACCTGCCTGCCTATGCGTACTGCAGTTCTATTGTCAGTTGACGAATAATCAGTGTTGTACTTGTGACAATTCAGTATTGACAATTCAGTATGACAGTATGATGAATGTGTTGTGAATGAATAGGTATGTTGTGACAATTCAGTATGATGAGCTGAGATAGGCCTACTCTAGAGAATGTGAGTTTTCAAGATAGGATACCTAGTTGTGTATACTGCTGTGAATTCCATGCAGGTGTTGCTCTGAACTTAAAGATTGTTGCATCTCCATGTTGTGTCTTAGTTCCTTAACCAGAAATATAGGTACTGCAACCGAGAGTTTGATGACGAGAAGATCCTGATACAACACCAGAAGGCAAAACACTTCAAGTGTCACATCTGCCACAAGAAGTTGTACACAGGTCCAGGGCTTTCAATTCATTGTATGCAGGTGAGTGCCCCATCACCATCTGCCTGCTTCAAACAACTGACCTTTTATTGGAGTTTTGGCTAATTTTCCTGCAACACTTCAATGTGTATGGTTTGCCCTGTGGATGTTCAGCAAGGGTGTGAGCATGCTGGCTGACGTTGGGAGGCCACCAGTTGACATGGAGTACCGCTGCTTATGCCCTGCCTCACCGCTCCGTAGGTGCACAAGGAGACTGTTGACAAGGTCCCTAATGCAGTGCCCAGCCGGAACAACATAGAAATTGAGATATATGGCATGGAGGGCATCCCGGAAGATGACCTCAAGGCCCATGAGCAGAGTGCCAAGTCTGGGCCCGCAGACTCGGACGGTATGTCTTCCACCGATCACACCCACCGGACTGTCTGCTTCTAGAAGCTCTGCAATGTCATCTTTGCATGAACAGTGGTTGTACATTACTGTCGCCAAAGACAGGTTTTCCTAATTGGTCTTGAGTATAATGAGCTATATGTGTATTTCACCTGATTTTACTATGGAGATTACTATTTTGACTTGTCCATTGTGGTGTTTGATAGTGGTATCACAGATTTTCAACATCCTGTGTTTTGTGAAAGGTAAGTCTTGCTAGTTAGAAGTTGTTTCCTTGTAACATTCTGAAAGAAAATGATTAAATATAGCTTTACCTTTGACAGAGCTTAGAGAACAAAGGGAAATATTATCTCAACTTTCAGACCAATAACTAAGGCTTTTGCCAGTTGTGAGGCATTCATTTCAGCAGCCCTCATGACAACACTACGCTTATTCAGATAATCTTCAACCTGTTTTGTTTCCATCTGTTTCTATCTGCTCACACCTCACGATGTCTGACCCCCCACCGCCGCCGGTCGCCCAGGCGAGCCGTCCGCCTCCAGCCCGGACGTGGCCCGGCCCGGTAGCAAACCGGCCACGCCGGCCTCTCCCGGCGTGGGCGCAGCGTTCGGCGGGTCGGGCCTGCCCGGCCTCTCGGCGGCCAGCAGCGCGGCCATGCTCGGTCAGATGACACCCATCGGGCCGATGGCGCCCTACATGCTGCCAGGGTGAGAAAAGGGGGTCGCAATGTCGATCTGTGAGCCGATGACAGGGCTCACTTCGAGGAGAGGGGAGGGGGAGAATCTTGCGGCGTGCCTCGGTCGATGGGATAGAGGGGAGAAGGCAGAGAGAAGCATCTTTGGGAGGAAGGACGGTGTTTGACTTGATTTATGACAGGCATCGATTGGCTCAACTGACTGTTAATTTGGATGAGTGAAGTGATTGATAACGGTTATACTGTGTGCTTGCCGTCACAAATAAGCATTGCATGCTCATTCTGTTGTTCGTAGAGTCGGATATTAGTGCGTTAACTTATTCCCACCAAGCTAGCTGACCCGACGCTGCCCTGTTTCAGGATGATTGGCCCCATGGGCCAGCTAACGCACATCCCCGGTATGGGCATGGCGGTACCGGGCGGCGTGCGACCCCTCTTCCCCTCGGCACAGGTAAGCCACCCCTGCCCCCACCCTCCCCGGGAGTCGCGAGGTCATGGGCTCACGGGGTGAGATCGATCGTCTTCCTGGGTGACGTGCGATGGACGGGGAGTGAGTGTCTGAGTGATAGGCTGATGCCCTGCAGTCTATGTCCGGACGATCGCTCTTGGCAGGACAGTAGGTGATGATGAAACAGTGATGGACGCGCTGTGTATAATGTGGTGCAAATATTTACCGTGCTGGTATGATATTGCGCCGCAGGCGGGTGGCAAGTCGCTGAAATAGCGCTAGGATTCGATGGTTGCGAAATCACGGGTGGGCATCAACATTGAATGTGTAGTGTATTTATAGTTCGTTAAAGTATATGCTTGAACGTTAGCTCGTATACGAAATATCGCCTATGTGATCTGTTTCTAAGAACATATATTATTTACTTGAATACCTATCTTCAATGTGATTGACTAAATTCCTTTTCGTCGATTTGGGATATAGAGGATTCTTCATGGCTCCGAGTGGAAGATAAGGATATCTTTTCCAAGCGGGTTACTGAAAAACCGAGCGACGAAGGAGCGAGGTTTTTCTGTAACACGCGAGGAAAAGATATCCGATCTTCCACGAGTGAGCCATGAGGAATCCTATATCTTTCTATGTTGAGGTTTATTCTTGATTAATGAAATATTAGGTATATTTAAATGTATTCATCTATGTAAAAATAGATTCAGAGTAGTTTGTTCTTATTTCATAAGTTTCATCCATAAACAACCATTAAAAATGTCGTTCGGTTATTGACCCATCATCACTTAAACTCTTGATTTTTCGCTATGAACCCTCGAGACCTTATCTTTGCATCTCCGAGGGATGCAGAGATAACAAATTCTTATCTCTGCATCTCAGAGGAGTGCGAGATAGAAATATCCCTGCACTGTAGACCCAATGGCAAATAAACCTCAACTAGAAAGATATCTGTATACTGAAGCCGTCGCGCCTGTGATTTGCTCTCAAAATTTACGATAAACGATGTAAAATTCTAACCGCATAACATCGTCGTTAATATTTCGGGGTCTCTCACTTGTCTCCATGATATCTATAACACTTTTAAATCCTTTCATATAATGTGACTCAAACCTTACGTCGAATTCTGCGCGTTGTGCAGCGTTGGCTTTCCGATTTATGGCGACTGCCGGCTGCTCAGCTCTGGTGGGCCGCGCTGACTGTCTCTGTGTCTGGTCTTTCCCACCAGGCCAGGGTGTCCGGCAGTCGGGCCGGCCGGCTCGCGCGCCCGCCCGCCGTCTGTGCCTTGTTTTGCCCGTGACCAGGTACCCCAGACCTCTGGCTGCTCGCCCGCTCGCTCGCCCGTCCGCGCGCGCTGCACCCGCCCCCGACGACTGAATGTCTCCCTCTTTCTGTCTTTCTGTCCGTCTTTCTCTGTGTCGGTTGGATGGTCACTAGAGGCCAGTCGCGGAGCAGCAGACGTACGTACTTTGGCCGACCGCTGGCTCTCCCCTCTGTCTCCCTCTCTCACTCTTTCTCTCTGTGTCTGTTTGGGTGTCTTGGACGGGACGCCAGTTCCTCCTAGCCGGGCGGTACTAACGCCGGGGGAGCAGCCTGCAGGGCGTGCCCGATCAGGCCGCAGTGCGCCGCCCAGCTTTGGTTTCGAGTGCATGGTCGCCCAGATGGGGAAGCGCGTCGCTTCTGAGCGCATTGCTCGCGCTCCGGTCGGCCGCCGGCCACCGGTCAGATGCATGCCGTGGTGTTGGTTTGCCGATGGTTTTTGGTGTGTCTGAAGTCACTGCACAGAGTTAGCGCACAGTACGAGTTGCACAGGTTTCATCTCTTGCAGCCGCAGCTTAAACAGCCCGTTTAACATAGCTAACATGATATTCCCCGGATGCTGGAGCTGTGTCCCGTATTTGTGTACTCGGTGGCCCCCAGCCTTGTCTGTTACCTGTTTATACAAACGCTCGGCACGCGAAGTAGCAGATGTAAAAGTATTGTCAGTCTTACGCACTGAGACTTATCTATCGGTGTTACCTTCGTTGCTATTTCTGACCTATGTGTTTGTTTCCCCGCGATTAATCTACATTTGCAGACTGATATTAAATGCGTACCTAGCGTGCTTTACCGAGAGGTCGTGTACTATGGTATGCGTCGCCGCAGCTAGTACCAAAAGTATCTAACTCTTTTTATGAAGCTTATTATATAGCTATCTGTTACATTGGAGCATACATATGCTTCATGTTTACACACATCTACGTCTATACAATTTTGATGCTGGCAAGATTTTCGCTGAGACGCCGGTGCTCTTCTCATACATCACCGTTATTATCGTTATGGGCATCACTTGCATAGTCACAAAGGAAGACCTATTTTGCTCTTTGTGCGGGTATGTGGTCAGATTGGCATGCAGTGGGTCGCGGGCTGCCGTCGCCGTTTCGGCAGCTGTGTGCGGGCGTCGAGCCTGGTAGGCGTCGGCTGTCTTCGCCGGGGCGAGTCGACGATACGCGATCGATGCGGCCCCACCTGACGAGCGCCGCCCGCCCCTCCCCGTGCTGCCGGCGCGGCGCCCCTCCCCGCGCGGCGCGGCGCGTGTGGCCGCCGCTATTTCTGTCCCGGGCCAGTGGGACCCCAGCCAGGCACCGGCGCCGTGCCGGTGGCCCCGCCGCGGCCGCCGGCGGCGTCCCAAAGCGTCCTGTGCCGTCCCCCTCCCCTCTGCCGGCAGCCGCCGCTGTTGCTACCTTGGGTGGATGACACTAGACTGGTCCCGTTGTTTCCCACCCCGACTCGGCTAGCGTCGCCTCCCTCATCTTGTACTGTCCCGTCCTGACTCCAGCACATCACATCCTATTCCATTTCGGTCACACAATTTTGGCCATATTCGTTCTAGCTGACTGTATTCTAGCCCGGCCAAATTTGGCCAATATCATTCGCTGGCTTGGAAAGCTAGAGTCAGTGTGATTGTGCGCCGATTGTCCCCAGCAGAGTTGTTGAGCTCAGCACTGGGCTCAGCACCAATCTCAGCACCAATCTTAGCGCCGAGCTCAGCACTGAGCTTAGCACAGAACGCGCCCCGGTTTCGTGAACAGAGACCTGCTATTGTCACTCCGCTACTGCAGACCACAGTCAGTCGTGCCGCGCGGAGGGCAGACAAATGTCCCTACAGCTGTGGCTCGACCATCAGATGCACCGGTGCCATGCAGCCGGCTGCTGCTCGGGTTAGGGCGCTATATTGGGGCGGCCGACGGCAGCCGACCGTCGTATGAAAAGGTCACGCAATATTGTCTAGACTGAGAATGGCAAAAGTTGAAAATGTCAGCGGGATTGAATTTGTGCGGTTGGATGCGTTGCAAATGGAGCAGGGCTTCAAGCAATTTACTTGACATGTGTTTGCGTCTTCTCGCATTCCGGATCATCGGCTTTGTATTATTACCAAGCCTGGGTGGCCCCGCGGTACATCCTAACGCCTCTGAATTATTTGATGTGTATTGAGTTGATATGCGTGTTTTCACATCGTACCGTTTGTGTTACCACAGCATTGGTGTATGCAGTGTCTGCCTGCCATCAATGTCCCACATTTGTCTTCTTTAACCGGGGCCCACTCCTTCCTATCCAGGGACCCTTCTATCATCTCTGCGACTATCACCCCCACTACTGTCAGTATCTCTCCGTCGTAGTCCGATAGTTGCTCGGTTGTGACGGGAGCCGCTGTTGACAGGTGTCGTCACCGGCTCCTGTGGGGTCCTCGGCGGCGTCACGGAGTACCTTCCCGGCCTACAGGTGAGCTCACGGTATTAACACGACACAGGGCCGGCTTATCCAGAATTGGAGGATCAAAAGCATGCGATAGCATGCTTTTGCATCCGGAAATTCCCATTGGTGGGTCGCTGAAAAAAGTTCGGCTGAACCTGTTTGTCAGTGAGTGAGTACGTGAGTATGTGAGTGAGTTTGTCCAAGCTTTTTTGGACCTGGAGTCAAAATGGGTGGACCGATCGGGACGAAAGTGGGACCGTTTGATTCGTCTCCGGCGAGGTAAACTTTTGGTGCTGGCCTCGGTTCGCTCGGTGCTTCGTGGCACATGCTATTCCGCTTCAAAGTTTCGGTGACACGAAATTTTTTGTCAAGACTACAGGTCAACCCGAGGTCACGGGCAAAGCCATACTGGCGGGACGCATCGGTGACACCTTGAACCAGTTTCCAGGGGGGTCACCGTCTGCGAGGGGTGCAGGCTGCACGTGCTGGGGTCGGAAAACCGTTTTGACGTGAGGTCCTCTGGCTCAAAGAAATTTTAAGCTATCAACCTCAAAATCGGTTCAATGGTAGTCCCAGGCAAGGCCTCCAAAATAATGCACATTTGGTTGAGCTAAACTCTGTGGTGCATGAGCTATGCACGTGCAAGCCGATTGCACCCCTTCGTACGTTACCACGCCTGCAGGGTAAACGGCAGCTCTAACTGGTTCAAAACTTGCAGGTCGTAAGAAGAATACATTTGATCACGACATTCCGGCGAGATAATATCCGAGGGGTGCAAGCTGCGCGTGCGGGGGGCGGATAACGGTTTTGACGAGGGATCCTCTGATCCCGGGAAACGTCGATCTAGCGACACAAAAGTCGGTACACTGATAGAACTAGACACACGCTACATGATGTTATGAAAATGACTGCACTGGGGTGCCTGGGACATGAACTATGCACGTGCAGTTAATTCATATCTTACTGTAGGTCATTAGAAAAAAGCAAAACGCTTTCTTTTTAATGAAGTCATTTGGGCTATGGATCCTCCAATTCTGGCCCAAGGCAACGCACGAGCGCTGCCGGCATCTAGTTCAGTAGCTGTAGTGAGCTGTAGGTGAGCTCTATAGTAGGTGAGCTCACTTTGTAAGAACGACAAAGAGCCGACTTGAGTCACCACGAAATGGTATGGAAGCTTCACGGAACTAGTTATTACGGAAGTATCGTGGAAGTATTTGATGCCATGGGATAGCATGAAAGGTCACAACTCACAAGCTGTCACCGATTTGGCGCATAATCAATACCGGTGATTTATAATACGTGTACGCTAGTTATTGTCTGAGGCTGATAGTAGTTATTTGAGGTTGCAACTTACTACGTAGCTCATAAAGGAAAGCAATACTCTAAAAGTCACGTCTCCACAATATTGAATCGTAATGTGAGGAACGGGATTGGACGACCGACCGTGGCCCGCTCGTCTCTGGACGCCGGGTCTGGCTGACGGGCTGTATTGGGACTGGGCATTGGGGAGGAGTGAGGTGTGTACGTCGTTCGGCCGTCCCTCGCAGCGGTCCACAATGATCGATGAATCAATCGACAGTGGGGGTTGTGGGGAGGGGATGGGTCTGGAGTATGGAGCCTGGGCTTCGACGCTGTCACCAGGGACTGGTCGTGCTTTATCGTAAATCGTCGTATGTGGCTAGTCTGCTAGCACAATGCATTTAGAGTCTTTGTTGTGATTGCTGTGTTCAGTGTTCACATTGTTTACTGCGAATTGTTTTGTAATGCATGCGTCACCGAATGGCTAGCGGATCTGCCCTCACCTCATCGAACCTCAACTGCGTGCTGTGTTAGCTTCGTAGCCTGTTTGGTGCCGCATCTCTTTTCAATATCACTACGCTTGCTTTTCCAACAAATGACATTATTGACCCTGCAGTTACCCCGTCTGTATGAATATGGGATAAACCGGTTGGGTATGTTTATCCCATATTACTACAATCTTATCAATTAACATGTGTCCTAACGTGTCGTCCACAGCCAGGCGACGGGCAGCAGCGGCAGCAGTAGCGGCGCCTCCACCAAAACGACCACATCCACAGCCACGTCCCGGCCTGCGCTGATACCCCAGGTGGCCGGGGCCACGAGCAAAATCGTCCACCCGGAGGAGGACGTATCCCTGGTGAGTTGTGGAAAGAGTACGGAGAGGAGAGAGCGAGGAGAGGCGCCCGCTCGAGGGTTGGGATGAGCTGTGGGCCCGGTCGAAGGAAGTCGGCGGCCGCTGTATTGATTTGGATGGTTTGGACGGTGAAAATGGCGTCTGGAGAGGATGGGAAGGTCTCAATGGGAGGGCAGGCGGTCGGTCGGTTGGAGTTTATGAGCTGACGCAGCTGTTTGAGCCGGGGTGAAGTGGGTCGTTCGTTAGTGAGAATGACTGGCCAGGTTTTGCTTTCAAATGCGCGATGTTTTTTAAAACGGTTGTTACATCGCTGCGCAGTACACAATGCGAAGTGATACATGCATATTTCGCTCTAACGAACTGGATTAAACAATTCAGACTTTTTATTTATCTGGCCATCCGACCGGAGTGAAGAGCCACAGAAACAAACATCAAATTGACACCGCTCCATAAAATTACGCCACTTGTCCACTGTTGCGTCGACGGTATTGACCAACGCTTTTTTGTTTTCACCTCATCACAGTATGCATCCCCTACTATACCTCTCGTGTCGGCTGATTATCCACCTTCGCATGCCTTAATATCCTTTTCCAATTATCTCACTATTATTTGACAATCATTCTGGCCTCCCCGACGGATTCCTTATGTGTCCTCTGGTCACCCTCGCCCGTGCATCTAGGGACTTTGACACTCCCCTTATTTCCCTTTTGGACCGTTAGCACGTTCTGACTCTCCCCGTGCTATCTTCCCCAGGAGGAGTGTCGGCTGCGGCTGCCGCGCTACCAGCGATTCCGGCCTCGTCCGCCGCCGTCACCGCCCGGTCTGGCCGCGGCCGCAGCCGCCAACGCCGCTGCCGCCGCAGCCGCAGCCGCCGCCAACGCGGCAGCCACGGCCAACGCCACAGCTGCCCTGGAGGTACGGACGACCAGGGGGGGGGGGGAGGGGGGGGGGGGAGGATTGGGCGTTGAAGGGCTTTGGGTGGTGCTGATGAGTGACTTGTGAGGTGTTGTGTTTGTGTGATTGTGTTTGTGTGGTGTTGTGCTGTGCCTGTGTGATTGTGCGAGTGGTGCGTGGTGGATGGCTTTGGGGAATGACGGACAAATGAGAGTGGATTCTCGTGTTGTTTGGTAATGGACGGTACCTAATGATATAATGGTAATGGGGTGATATTGAGAAAGGAGCTTCATTGTGGTGGATGCGGTGGAGGTGTTGGATATTTGATATGGCGATTGTCTTCTGGATATATTTACCTTTACTTTTGTCCTTTTATGCTATACATTTTTCACTAATCCGCGAAAATGAAGAGCTCAAAAATAATTTTTATATCACACAACATCGAAGTAATACAGACAACACAGATCCAAAAAGACCTTTGTCAGTAAATTTGTCAGTAAAGCAACCACCTTACACATAACAGCATTATCTTTTTCAGCTTATTATGATAATCAAAAATGTTTGAAATTACGAAACATTTCCCTGAGGATTGCCCTCGTTTTATTTCTTTCACCCGTGTCATGGTTCGATTTTCGTTGAATACGGAAAATGATACCGCCTCTGCGATATGTCAGCGTTTATGGACGATGCCCTTATCACCTACACCTTTTTACGCCCAATTTAGGCGGCAGTGCACACATTTCAGTAATAGTGCAGACGATTTCGACAGTATGGCATAGTCTGTCTGTGCCGAAGTGTCGAAATCGGTTGCACTATTACTAAACTGTGTGCACTATGTCTAATGTCTATACTTGGCCGTAAAAAGGTGCATATCCTGCCGCTTATACCTCTCGCCCAGTGACCAGGGGTTGTCCTTTTCGCTGGTGGGCCGTCCGTGCGGCGTGGCCTCAGCAGTCGCCTACTCTGTGTTTGCAGAGAGTGCTCGTGGCCCGCCTGCGGCCTACTCAGCTGTGCCGGTCGGCCCCGCCCCCCGCCCCCGCCCCCGCCCCCCGCCCCCGCTCGTGTGCCGTGCTCTCTTGGTCCGCCCCGCCCGCCCGTCGCAGACTGTACCGCTGCTCTAGTGCTAGATTGGCTTACTGCATGCTTGTATGCCTGAATAGACGAACCAGCACTGCTCAAAGTGTGGAAGGTCTGTACAGAACCGGGCGCGGCTGTGAGTAATTCGTCACAGCGCTCTTCCAGCATGCTTCGCTTGTCTTCCCGCTTAGTGACCCGTACTGCTCGTCCCTTTCCTTGTCGTTCTTGATTTTCGGTTACTCCCGCTTCGCTCCGGCCCTTAGGAGCAGTTTGCTCTGGTTTGCTAGTTAGCTAGGTGTTTATTACGACCAGTTTCGTGTTTGTTGTCTGCTTCTTACGACGTGTGGATGTCTTTATTCGTCACCTGGGCTGGACAAGCTTCAAACCACCGTGTGCTGAAGGGCATGGAATATATGGGCTATGGCCCGATGTTCAAGACACGCCTCCACCAGTTTAAATCGTTTGCTTGTCTTGTAGCAGGCACCGTCGTGAAATTTAAGATCCCAGTTCTTGTTTCAGGTAGATCATGCACGAATTGCGCTGTAGCAGTCAGCAAGTTAACGTGTCGTAAATGAAAGCAATAAGCATCCATATTTGGCATTTGCACGTCTTTATCTAAACATCTGGATAATTATTTGTTGACATTTTTTCTGTATTGACTCACTCGATGGCACTTTCAAAAACATCTTTTCCACCAGAGTTTCTGTAACATCACAAGGGCTGTAGATGCAGGTAAATATTGTTTCAGGTAATTTCACGTTTCACTTCAACTCCTCTTCTCAGTAATTGTCACCTCACATATTGCAATGGCGGCGTTTGATTGCATGCTGCCTATTTCATACCCGGGTCGACTTTGATAGGAAATGCTCAGTCTTTCTAGCAGCTGTTCTTCGTTCACTGTTTATACTTTGGTCGCTTTTCCATATATGTCTACCTTAGATAAATCCAAAATCGATGTAATGTGGCATTTATTGTCAATATATCAGTAGTGTATAAATTCTGGAACACTTCGCCTGTTCTGTTTTTCATCCGACACCACATAAATCACTTTGTTGTCCGTTGCATGTCTGCATGTTCCCCCATATATCAACAGCAGCTGCTGTATTATAGCCAGTGTGCCGTTATCAACACCCACGATGACGTTTTGCTGCGTTTAACGTTCCGGCGTGTGCTGTCGATCTCAGCTTAGTCTATGGAAGTGCTCGTGTCTTGTGTAATCATCTGCTGAATCGGAAGAAGACAGTTTGTACTGCTCTGCCTTACTTGCATGCTGCATATCTTGCCTGTTTGCTTGTCTTAGCAACACTAGCTGCCGACTCCGGGCAGCGTTTTGCGGCAGTCGCGCTGGGATTTGGTGATGGATACCCGCCTGGCGCGTCGTTCCGCTTGTCGAGGTCACTTAGCCTGATGTGGGTGCCAGCCGGAACTGTGTACACTACACCTTATTCGCCTATCAGTGTGTGTATGTGTGTGTGTGTGGGGGGGGGGGTACGTTTGTGTGTGGTGCGGTCTCGACATGCAGGCGAGTCGCTCGGACTGGATTTCGATGGACTGTTGAGTTGGCCGCTTCGCCACGGTATATCGCCTACCTTTCATATCCCAACCTGACCTGATCTGACCTGACTTGGTCGTTTCAGGAGGAGCGTCGCAACCAACTGGCCAAGTACCACCAGCAGATGCGGGCGGCGGCGGCGGCGGCGGCGGCCGTCTCGATGCCGGCCGTCTCGATGCCGACCGTGTCTCTGATCCCCCAGCCGCTGATGGGATCGCTGGCTAATGTCATGGCCATGCAGCAGCAGCCCCGTCTGGTGGTCAGCCAGCCGACGCCGCTGCCCATACCCCAGGTGGGTGCCGACGGAGGAGGGTGATTAGGGGGACGGTGGGGCTGTATCCGCAGCTGGGTTGGCTGGTTTGTGGTGTCTGTACGTGCATAGTACGTGTCGAGTGTCTGGTGTATGTCTCAGTGGTCTGGTGGGGTTGATGTGTTAGTACGGCGTGTATACGTGGTCTGTTTTATACAATTGCTTTATTCAAATATCAGTTTTCATCATAAATCATATTTCTTGTGTCCAGAAATTGGAGTAGGAAATAGGTGTGGCTGTTTTGTATAATTCAACTGTTGTGATGTCTGTGTGCAATACATTGTCTGCAACTGCAGCTGAGCCCGACCACCAGTCTGTCTGTCTGTCTGTCTGCCTGTGTCTGTGTCTGGGTCTGTCTATCTGTCTCTGTCTGTGTGTGTGAGACCGCGCCGCCGTTTGTCTGCAGCTGCTGAGCCCGCCCTCCAGTCGGGCGGCGCCCGCCGAACAGCCGTTCCCCGCACAGGTTAGCGCTGCAACCGAGCCCGCCTGAACCCCGGCTGACCTGACCTGGATCAACAGTCAGACCACCGCCGACTGACCCTTCCCCCGGCGACTGCCGTGCATGTGATAGTGGCGGTGTGACCTGTGTATAGCTGTGCATGAGTTGAGAGCTGCGCACGTGTGGTTGTGAGTGGAGCACCTACCCGGAGTAGATAGGACTACTGACAGCTAGTGGAAGTGCTGTGCTGGTGCCTGGGACAGACGGAGAATTGCATTAAAGAAAGGTACGTTGTAACCATCTGTTGTCAGCTGTAGATTGTAGCTTATATGCTCGGTTTGAGGTAGAAGAGAAGGAGGCATCCGGATCCTTCAAGATTACAGACGCAGCAGACGGCGCGGTTCTTTAAAGCAGGTTTGTTTCTGGTGGATATGCTTGTGCAGTGGTTTATACATCCCAGTAGCTTTTTGTAGTTTTATGAACGTTGCAGGTGTTGGTATTTGACAGTTTGAAACACAGCCATTTTTTTCGATTTAAATATTTTGCACCATTGAGTTTGATGTTTCGACTTTCGATAACCGTTTATTACATTGTCTCGAAATGCTAAGTGCACGTGATTGTTTCCAATATTTAATACACCATCGACGAGTAGCTAGTGATCCGCACAAAATTCGCTTGCAGTATAAATGATGCCATTCCATCCCCTGTGTTTTGCGGTTCGGCCGTATCAGCTATCGTGAAATAATTCATATTCAATATCAGGAAGGAGCTTTGGCCAGCTCACATACGAATCAACTTTCCTCGGATTCTCATTCGTGAGTAGAGCACACTCACATTGGCCTTCCCCTGGCTGGCTTGGGTGAGAGAGACTGGTGTCACTCGCTTTTCCGACGGATGCCCAGCAGGGTACGTGCCACCTGTGCGCCAGCGTTCGCATGCGTGCGCCTGTCCACAGGGCAGCAGGCGTCATTCCGTGTGTCAGCCTGGTCAATTCAGCATTATCACAGCATCATGTATGTAACGTCATAGTATCGCTGTAACATCGTGTGCAGCTTTTTCATCCACAGGGTGAAGCTCACAACGCCATCGTCTAGTCTGCTCTGCTCCCCCTCCCCCTCCCAGCTTCCTGTCTGTCGCTCAGCTCGGTGTCTGACGGCCGTCCCGTGCGCCTCCGTCCGACAGATCCCCCATCTGCTGCGGCCCGGCTACCTACCGGTCTCAATGGGCGCGCCACAGCTGCTGGGGCAGCCGCCACATCAGCTGCTGTTTGCGCCGCGGCCGCCCGCCCTGCAGTCGCAGCCGCACGGTGAGTCAACGAGGGAGACTCAGAGTCATCGACTGAGTCAATGAGTCATCGACTTATCGATTAGCTGCCTGTCGCCATGAACTTTGCCGCTGTGCGTGATCCTAGACATTGAGGCTGGTCTTTGGTGTTTGTCCGACTTACTTTGTGTTTGTATCACCCGGGGTCTGGTGTATCAAGGTTTTCAGGGTCCGTGTGTTAAATCCGAGGTCTGATAGTGTCGTATTGTATATTCTGATCAAGTGTTGTTGTGTGACATTGGATGTGCGTCTGGGCAAGATGCCGAGCTATCAGAGTTTCGGGTCCTGGCTGATGGTGTGTATGATCAGTTTCTACGTTTGGGCTGGGAGCTATGTGTAATATCTGTGGAGTTAATATGTGACGCGTGTCTGGTGCAGGTTCCGCTCGTGATCCGGTAACTGTGTCTACTATTTTACCAAGGATATCTCTTTCTCTCGTGCTTACCAATCAGTGTCTAGTTTCCCACGTTGTAAAGGATAAGCGGATCAGCAGTGTTATCTGACGTACTGGTGGTGTATTAGCTCGCTGTGATACTGTGGTCTGGTCGCCAACATTCAGCGACGTCTGTCGGTTATTACACCCGTCACGCTTGTGAGCGGTCTCCTGTCCATTTTATCAACAGATTCCCTCTCCTAATTCCTGTATGCTCCCGACTGTGAGGTGCTCTACCTCTGTCGTTTACCTTAATTCGTCCATGTGTCTTTTTCCGTTTGTGTTGTCCATCCCATTCTACGCAGCAGCTCTTTAATTTGCTCACTGCATTTGTTCCTTTGTTTTGCTGTCTGTTTTGTCGTGTTCGGGATCGTCTATCTCTACCTGTGCCTTTCAAACATCGTCCACTTTCCTCGTTATATTTGGTTGATTCTTGTGTTATTCTCCTCAATTTTCCTCAGCATTTGTTCGTGTATGTTCTCTGTGACTTGTAACCATTTTGTCTATTCATTTTATTTAGTATTATTTCGTTTGTTTGTTCGTTCATGCTCGTTTCATGTCTACTTTTGTTTAGTTTTTATCACTTTCATTTAGTACACTGGATAACATTTCAGCGGTCGATGTCGCGCCGGCCGCCCTGAGCGAGGTCGCTGAGCTATCTGACCGAGTAGCACACCTCCCCACCCCACCCGTCAACACTGTGGGACCGCCTGTCGCCAACCAGCCAATGTGTTACAGACGACCCGCGTGGCGCGCGTGCGCCCCTCGGCCGCGCGCCGCGCGCCGCGCCGCAGACGCTGCCTGCCAGATAAGTGTGCCTGTGTCGAGAGAAGCGCGCGTGTGGGTTCACCGCCGCTGTGCACCGCCCGCGTAGTAGGCCGCGCGGCCCGCCCGCCCGCCCGACCGCCAGCCCTGTGTCTCACTCCGGTGATCTGGATACCGCTTGGCTCATGCTGTAGGCGTCCGATGCGGCCCCGTGTCCCGTCCCCAGTTTGTTACGCAGCGCTCCGGACCCGTCTCTATCTATCTATCACTCTATCTATCTCCGTTTTGCTGTCTGTTTTCTGTCTCTGTCTGTATCTATTTGCTCTCTGTCTCCTGCGCGCGGCTGCGTTTGGCCTGCGGTGCCCGTTGTTTGTTATTGGCGGTGCGTGGCGGGCGCGTGCCGCCGCAGCTTGGGCCACTGACTGACTGACTGGTGGAGGGTAGCGCATGGCTGCTGGGCGGTCGCCGCTCCGGCCGGCCGGCCCCGGTAGTATATCTGGTCTGACTAACGTCTGGTCGGCGGCAGCGGCCAGAATCCAAGGTGAGTGAGCAGGTGAGTGCGCGCTGCCGCCGCCGCCGGCGCCGCAGGAGGAGCTGCGACTGCCGGCCGACCGCACTGACCGCGCCGGCCGTGTGTCGTTGCAGCGCACCTGTTGGCGGCGCCGGGCGCCCCGCTGCTGCCGCCTGGCTTCCACCTGCCGCCCGGACTGCTGGGAGCGGCCGCGCCGCCGGCGCCACACCCGCACCAGCTGCTGGCCGCTGCACCGACCCCCTTCCCGCCGGGCGCCGCCGCCGCCGCCGCAGCCGCCGCCTTCATGCCGAGGTTCATCTTCCGGTAGAGCGCGCGTGCGCGACTCTGACGGACGAAGATGGAGTTGCGCGGACGGAGTCGGCCCACGCGTGTCACCGCCACCGGCGGGCACTCAGAGCGGGGTGTCTGGGAGTGTGGGACTCGTGTCTGGGTGTGTGAGTGTCGCAGAGTGCCACCAGTGTCTGTGCTGTCGTGCCCTGACGGCGGCGGCGGGTGCAGTGCCCCCTCCCAGTCGCCCGCCGGCTCACCCGCGGGCACACCGGCCCGTGATACTTCTAGTCCCGGATCTGCAGAGGTGGCGCCCGGAGCAGGCCGCTCGCCCCGCCGCCGCCGCCAGCCGCGCCCCGCGACTGCGAGCCGCGCCGGCTGACTGGCCCCGTTCTCTCTTCTCTCGATAGCTAGTGGAGCGGCGGCGCTCGCGCCGGGCGCTCTCTCCCTGTCAGTGAGTACGGGCTGTCCGGTAAGGCGCCGGCGGGCCGCGCCCGGCCCGCCGGCCGGCCGCTCTCTCGTATACTCGTCTTCTTTGTACACTGCTTCGTCTGCATGTGGGTGCTGCGGGCGCGGGTCCGGCCGCCGCCGCCGGGCAGACTCCTGGGTCTGTTCCGGCGGCCGGTGGCCGGGTGGCGCCGCCCGCTCGCCCTTCAGCCGTCAGAAAGTGCATGTGAGGCGGCCTCGGTGGCCTGCGTGTGAGTGTGTCGCTCCCCTGCCACCCGTCCCGGCCCGTCCCGGCCCGGCCCGTCACTGCCCTCCGGTCCACCCCGCCCCTGTCCGAGTCATTGCCGGGCTCATAAGATCACCTGAGGCTTCCTCTCACCCCCAATAGCCAGATCCAATGCCCCGGGTGCGGGGAAAGTTTGGTATGAGGGATGTTTTAAGAGGAGCAGTAGGGGCCTCCCGGGACCTGCCTAGGTGCTGGATAAAGGGTGAGGGGAGGAGGGAAAGTGAAGGACTGACGTCCAGCAGTGAAGACAGGATTGAGGATAGTAGCGGTCAAACGACCATCCCTAGGACCGAATAAGAAATTGGCGGTTGGGGAAGGGGAGCAGTTCTTGTTTCGGCAATCCCTGGATTGCTGTGTACTTACGGCAATGTAATTGTAATTTATCGGAGCTAACAATCATACGCGTGCCACTCGCTTGTCAACAGAAATAATGGAATGGCATTTTAGCTAACCAAACGCTATGAAGACTGGATAATGGGTATGCCATGTTACAACATATGTTACATCATACTTACGGCATTGATAACGTTTCCTCGGGGATACGATTCAGCAAGCGGGCATTGTCCGCAAAAATTGTATCGAGGTATGAAGTCAAATGACTGGGAAATTCACTACTGTAGCCCACCCACTTAACGCCGCCGAAAGGAATGAGGGTGTGCTATTTGCCGAGCTTTGGGGCAGGACTGAAAGGAAACGTGCATGTAGCTGACGGAAAGTTCGACTGTTGATCGTTGCTGGTGAGCCGTTCACCTGTTTCCATCTAGTCACCGGGGCCGAAAAGATTCAGGGCCTCGTGCTCCCAACGAGTACACAGATACTCGTGTGGAGACACCAACTTCCAGGGTATATTGGAGACTGGAGTCATCCGGCCTCGTGTAAAAGCGAGGTGTTTTCATGGTGGGGACTTTTTTTCTTCGGGGACGCTTGTTTGTCGACTCTTTAAGGTTATTTCAGCGACTGCCTAGATCAATTTAAGGAAGCTGCAGTAAGGCAGTAGGACGAGGCTTGCCGCAGAGGTGTATAATATATAAGCGTCGGATGTGCTGCCTGAAATGGTGGATGCTAAAGTTAACTTTTGTTGTGCTTTCTCAAATCGCGCGTCTAGCTGTTTCTGCCTTCATTTGCCCGCAGAGGTGTCACCTGTAGTGTCGATCGGCCCCTATTGCGGCCTGAAAATGAAGCTTACGTGTGCGCGAGTGAAGTTAAGCTTAAGCTGTGTCTGCTGTTGGCTCTTGGGGGCTCGGGGGCCGTGGGACGGAACACACAAATTGACCCTTAATTTGGGACCGTGAAATTGGGACCTTAGAGTCTGTGATTGTTAGAATTTGGGACATTTTACCGGTGACAGTTATCGTTACCCCTCTCATTGGATATAACTCGTTGGCCATTTAATCCTCGTGGTCATTGGGTCCTGGGAATGGTCCAACTCATGGTCTCCGGTCCTGGTGCTCTGGGGTCCCAGGGCGACTGGTCTACCCCTCTACGTGGCCCCTTTTCCTGGGGTCCATCCCCAGGTCTCGGTTCGGTGATCCAGTGGTCCATCCCCGGTTCGTGATCCCTCGGTCCGTGATCCCTAGGTCCATGCTCACCGGGTTCGCGATCCCCAGGCCTGTCAATCCCAGATCCTTGATCCCCAGAATCATGCTCCCCAGATCCATGCTCCCTCGGTCCCGGCCCCGAGGCGACCTCTGTCGCCGGCGCCGTCCCGGCCGGAGTCTGTCGTCTCGCAGTGTCGCCGCCACCGCGCGCCACTGTTGGAGCCGCCCCCCAGAGGGCGCTCCCCGGCCAGGCCGGCGAGACGGCGGCGCCGGCCGCCCCCGCCCCCGCCCCCGCCCATAGAGCTCTGACTGTCCCCTCGGTATGCGTACATCACTATTAGTTATCTCGGGCATATACATATAAATACCTTCTAATAAAGACGGCTCTGCTCGTTGAAGCGTATCCATAATGTACTGTTGGTTTTCCTGAGGCGGGTCGCTGCCGGCGGCGGCGGGTAGAGGCTGGTCATCCCGCCGCCCCCGCCGCCGCCGCCGCCGGTCGCGACCCGCCCCCACTGACTGTCGGTTTTGGGTGCTTGCCTGGCTTGCTGGCTGAGGTGGCGTGATCGGGCGGCGAGGCGCCGACTCGCAGCGACTGCGCTGCTGGCTGCCGGGCCGCCGCCGCCGCCGCCCCCGCCCTGAGAGCTGGCGGCGGCGGCGGCGGCGGCGGCGGTCCGGCCGCCCTCGTCTCGGAGAGGACGAGCGAGCCGCGCCGGCCGCGCGCCCTAACGTTGGTGGAAGGTGGCCGGAGAGGCACTCACACGCGGAGGTGGCCGGTCCGACGGCCAGTTTGGTACGCACCGCTAGACGTAACGCTTGCCGACACCCGGCCGCAACTCTGTAGATCCGAGTCTGACTGCCCGAGGCGCCTGTCGCTCGTAGGGAGAGGAGGGGAGGTGTGGTGTGGTGCACACAGAACGAGAAAGAGGAACGGAGTGGCTTTGGACAACTCCAGACTTCAGGATAGAAGATTGAATGTCTCGCCGTTGAAGATGCAGCCGGTTGATACAAGCTGGCATCGTCCATCGTTACAAACACAGTGTCCCAAAATTTCTCAGTTAGGGTGGGAAGTGACATCCAAATCAAAATAATATTCCACTCTCACCTCCAATTTTCCACAGCAATTTTTCACTCCCTATTTTCCAATAAAAAGCATCTGCATGTACCTTCTACCTCCCTCCATAGTTTATTCAATTATCTAGTATAAAGCAGCTCCCACATCCTCCAACAACCACAGATAAATTGTTGATCCCTGTTTTGCGCTCTTTTTTTGTGTGCCTCTTACTGACATTTTTCCACTCTCACAGCCCCTTTGTAGTGATGAATATTCCCCTCCGACACCCAAGCCGAAATATAATTTTGGGACACTGTACAAACATCGACGAAGTAAGCCTCGTCTACCAAACGAAGTCTGCCAGGTCCTGGATGAAGATGCACTGGAATGTCTGGTGGGATCGGTCGGACCCGTCGCTTGAGGATACTGGACTGTCCTTCATTTGGGCAAAGCGAGCTGCTCCTCCATTCTGCCAGCAAGTGAAGATGTTTGAGGCAGGTAAGTGTTGATGGTTCGGAGAGTTCTAGAGGCGACCCTCGCAGCAGAACGCTGCTGGACCACGCGGCCAGGGACCGGACCGCGTGGTCCCCTGCCCGGCAGAGTCCGGACCAGGCGAGGGACCGCCGGTGTCAGAGACTCGACGAAAAAACTGCCTGGAGAAATACGGGGTTCTGGAATGTGCTGTTTGAAGACAGCCAGATGTGTAACGCTGGACTGTGGCTATGAATTGAAGCGAAAACACAAGTTCTTGGCATCCGAGGCATTGTTAAAGCTTCAGACAGCAGGGGACGGAAGGGCTGAATGCGGACCGAACCGCAGATAACCTCCGGAGATGAACCCTTGAGGGAGACGCTCACTTCACCGACGAGAAAGCTCTTGACGCGCACCGGTCTCTGGAAATTAGTGCTCGACTGTGCGGTCATGATTGGTACATATTTAAACACCACCGCTGAACCACAAAGAGCCAAGGGTAGCCTGCGCTCGATTCGTTTCCCTCTCTACATGTCGATTAACTTTTATTACGATAATGTTTTTAATGAACTTTTTGCTCTCGTTGTTTCGATAAACCGATTCCAGTTTATGTAAATTAAAAAGTAGGCATGATTCGTAGAGCAGGATGTCTTACTTGGTGTAAAAGCATGTCTTTTTCGCTGTCAGTCCATCCATATTTATGATATTCTTATTTCTTGACATTGTCGACCAGTGGGCATAGCATTCCCGTTTTCGCGTAACTAAAAGATGATAAATTCGTAAATTTAAGCTCTCTCCCACTGACCGATAGGGGTACATTTACGACCGCTGAGAGAACTGTCGAAAGCAATTTTGTGTCACAGGTTCCTCATTGTCACTTTTGCTTCTTGTTAACTTACGTGCATTATCAGAGGACTATTGGATCTACCTTCCCTCTTCGCAATCCGTATAAAAGACAATCATTTATAAACGCAAATTGGTCTGGTGCAGGTCAAAAGGATCGGCCTTTGCTTACGCATCGTACTCACCACGAACTTCTGTAGTCCGGTAATACAGCCGGTTTACTACAATGCGTATGTCATTATGACGTGTTGTAGCCAGGGCGTAGACATCACTCACGAGGACATTGGAACTCTACATCCAACGGGTCGGCGACTTCAGCGTTGCGCGGACCAGGGTCATCATCATCACTCCATCCGTAGGCTCTCGAAGTTCCCTGGAAGCCTCGCCGATCTCTGGAAGCCAACGTGAAAGCTACTGTGTGAGAAGATGGATGTGAAAGCCTCAGGTCGTGAAGAACAACGATCCGGATGACCGTGGCAACCATACGCAGACTGCGGGCCATTAGACTCGAAACATTCGGTACGGAGATGTTGAAAGAACTGTGAATAAGTGGAGGTCGTATGCTCCTCAACTGAGTAATGTTGCGCGCCTGGACGATCTGGTAGGCTGGTGACAATGGGAACAAATGGTGAACGTGCGCCGGTGCTTTGGGGGCTGCCGTCCGTCAAAACACGGTCACGCGAGAGGACCATTCCCAACCGAAGCGGTGAAGCAGTCTTCGTGACTGGCTGGTCCGTGCAAGTATTATGGCTGAATTACAATACAGACAACTGTGATCCTTATCGGGTGGTTTATAGGTATATGGGCTTATGATGTGTGAGAGGTTCCTGATCGTTGCAGTGGACTGACCAGCGGATCCCGAGGGTCTCTTTAGGTACGCGCGGGGGAAGGGGACGTACAACACAAACTCTAGATGAAATGGAGCGTGTGGGGCTATGTCGGCTGATGGAGGCCTCGTTTGTTTCGCTCTTCAGACAACGATATTGCGGTAGTTACGTCGACACTCTACTCGATAAGTGTGGCTAAGTGTACCTATTATGAAGCCACTTACAAGCCACTTGTCACGTACGATGAAGGTGACATGAAGGTACAAAAAGTGGCACGGTAGGGTACCCGTTTGCTATTTATTATGTTTTACGCTCTCATGTAGCTATTGCCTGTCATGGAAAAGTGGATAGGATTGGCGTGATGCACGTTTATTTTTATTCACCTATAATGCGTGTATGTAACGGTCATTTTCACATTGACGCGCCCAGACGAAGAAGGGTAGCTGGACACAGTAGATGGACAACAGGTCTCACGGATAAATGCTCGCGACGTGACGCCGGTTCCTAATGACGGGAAAAGCGTAGACATGATACGGAATCGCCGGGCTACGCCGTTGCGTCGTGTGATGGCCAGATGTAGGGCATACTGCAGAGCACATGGGCTGTACACGTTGAACGAAGGATCCCTACCTTCGAAAGGTCTACCGACAAATCACATTAAACTGGACTGAGACCCGACTTGATTGATAGGTACACCTAATTAGAATCTCACCATGTGGCATCGACACGGCTCGATGATTTAAATTCAAATATCGGTGTAAATTCGACACTTTGAACATAAGAAACGAATGCAGAACTACACTCTACAGTCAAAGCAAAATATACCTACAAAACACAGCCTCGAAGCGACTTAAAGGTACTGAAGTCAGCATGAATAAATGAAGAACGTAGTTCATACACGAAAAAAAATGACACTTGGAACTTCGCTTGGCGATTCGTTCGTTCCGCCGTCCTAGCGCTTCCTTCTCGTTTAGGTTGATGTCCAAAGCCAGGGACAGTTGACACTTGACGAGGACATAACGCTGACTGCCGGTGTCCTAAACATCGAACTCCTAGCTGCGAACAGTGTGGTTTGCAGCCTCAGACCGCGCGACAGTCCATCTCAGCTGGAATTCGTGGTTGATGACAATCCAAACGCGAGAGGCTACTCCTGACCTAGCTCCGCTTAGTAGCGACACCTATAATAGAAAGTAGCAGTGCATACAGCCGCGTCCTCTATACTACCGCTACACGGGCGTATCTCCCTTATCATCGCTGGCCGCGGGGTCTGCCGAGGGCTGGCGACCGTTCTGCTGCGGGGGAGCGGTCATCTTGGAGCTACTGCTGCCCGGCGCCGACGACGAGGTGGTCTTCCTCGACGACAGGCCCGGCACGAGTCGGGTGACCTTGCAGCAGCAGCGGCCCAGCGTCGAGGAGGCGAAGTGCCTTCGGATGGTGCTGCGCGTGTTTTGCCGGAGTGTGAACAGAAGGAAGATGAAGAAACCTTGCAGAGCGTTGAAAACGTCCGTTACCAGCCTGAGGAAAATAGGGGCGTTAGGTATTAGGAAGGGCAGCTCCTTGAGATTTAGCAATAATGGTAAGAGTTAGGTTCAATAGGTATTAGGTAGGTAGGTACGGTGAGCACATTTCGAATGAATTTGAAAATTGATCGAAATGCTCGGCGAGCGAAACCTGGCCCTCGCTATATCTACTGCCGTCAAAACCTTTACTTTGGTCAAAACGCACTCGAATTCGTTCTTCGGATGTTCACGTATGGCCGTCGCCCGTCGGCCGAATCTCCTGCCAGCTGCGATGACTGCGCAACCATAACATTAGTTAAAATACTGCCGCTAGATGGCAGCAGGGGTAAGCGCCTGAAAGTATACTATACCGCATGGCGCGGGACTCGAAAGCGTTGATTCGGGCCGTTGCGGGAGCGTGCCTAAATGTTTTTCGAGAGAAATTTGATTTTAGCACACCCTATGAAAAATTCTCGCATATTCTAGCCATGGTAAGGTGAGAGATAAATCTCCAAACCACGTCATCGTGAAGTGACTACAAGACGAGAAAAATGAAGTGCTCGGCGCATAGGTGTCGATTTGTATACTTTTGGGTGTGCCCGGGCACCCCCAATGCTGAGTTGGGCACCCCCCAAGGGGCTCTGGGCACCCACAACCAAAGTTGGTACTGGCAGCACTGTTACGATTCTTTGAACGCATTGTTTTCTCTAATTCATAGGCGCGGGAACGGGGGGGGCAGTGGGGACAGTTTACCCCCCCCCCCCCCCCCAACTCTAAGGCCGTGGGTGCGGTGCCCCCACAGATTTAAGAAGAATATCGCACTTGTTTGCAAATGTTTTCTTTTTTGATGAAAACGCCAAGGGATGAAAAATAAGTGGCCTAGATTTGGGGGTACCCTAGGTTGATTTCAATTATGGTGTGCCCCCCCCCCCCCCAGTCTGAAAGTAGTTCCCGCGCCCCTAATTACCGTACATCAGAATGCGTTGTAAAAAATGGACACAATTTTTCGCTTTATTTATACCAGACAGCAGCATTTGGTAGCCATCGACGCATTCGTGCCGCGTCAATGGGTTTTCGGTTCCGGACGTCCTGAAGTTTTGCTTTGAGTGGCGAGATAGTCTTTTGGTCCGAAATATCATGGTTTAACCCTCGCACCAACGGGGATCCGCATTCCGCGCCAACGTCACACCGACGGGGGGCGGATACCTGCTCCCCGTGATATCGCGAGAACGAAGCAAGATAGGAACAAGCGGTAAATGGCATGGGATACAAACGGACAAAGTCTACAATTTTTACCGAGGTCATTTTCAGGTCAGGTAAAAAATGACGTCACAGGGGTAAACAATTCAAAATAGCGGCGCTTAAGGTAGACAGTAGACAGTTTTTTTTTCACGAATAACGATTGAAGTACCAATGTCTGTCATACCCACACCGAGTGGCTGATTGCTTTGAAAATTTCACCGATTGATAAGGCCAACAGTTTATACAAAATGTATATCTCGAAACTTCGATACCGGTGACCTAAGGTCAGGTCAATTTTGCCACCTCCCCATTACCTATATGTAAGTCCATGGGATAATTCTTCGGAATGCTTGAGACGAGGCATTAGTATCACGGATGTTAGTTGTCGGACTTTCGTTCCCGTCTTGAGTTGAGATGTTAGTTTCACAACATTTCGGCCAGTTACTTCTCCGGCCGTCGTTAGTTGTTCTTTGGTCCATAGAAAGATCTTGGGTGTTGGTGGCGTTACGTCGTACGCGTCATACCTTATCGAAAGCTCCTGTGGTCAGCGGGAAATGATCTAGGGTTGCCCCGGTGATAGGCGACAGTTGTAACTAATACAGTTGTAACTAATACTCCACCGCTCGAGGCAGACATAGCGGCCAGACAAACGAACATCTCACCTCAAGACGGGGACGAAAGTCCCACATCTATCATCAGTGTCAATGGAAGGAAATTAAAATGCGTTTTTTGCTGGACGGACACCATTCTGAACACTTCCAAACACCTATTAACAATTCAACATGACACACTGAACTGGAAAATGATACCCGACGTGAAAATGACGTCACCCTTCCTTATATCCCTGAGGTCATCTCAGGTCACAAAAGGGAGCCTAACAGTTTTTCGTTAATAACTTCTGGTAGGCGCATGCTACAGCGATGATCGACTGAACGGATCGACTGACATGCAACATAACACTTTCCGGTCAGGTATTGGCCTTGACCCGCGGTCAAATTTCAAAATGAAATTTCAAGGTCAAACTATAGTTTATTCGACGCGTCTTGATAAGAAGAACATGATGGCTGGCAAAATAAATGTCATGACTTTTTCGAGTAAAAAGCTATGGCAGAAAAAAATTCATAAGTGGCTATTATTGGAGTTTTTGCCCTCTGGAGAGTTTATGCTAAGCCGTTGACCTGAGGTCAAATCTGAGGACTACTTTGGCGAAAGAGCGTTGAAAGAGCTATGGAATGCGCTTGTCCGCGGCGCTGCAGCTCTATTAGTTCCCAAATTATGCGCCAGATTTTCGAAAATTGCTTAAACAATCCAAACTTGACCTTTTATGGCCTCTGGCCATCTGAGCTTTGACCTGACCTTTTAAAGACCAAGTATTCTCTTCATTTTAACTGCCTTTCCAATGCTGCCTACCGCATGTCGCTACGTGGCCCAGGAGCCGAGTTAGAAGGGGGTGTTCAGACACACACCCCCAGCCCGGCGCGGAAGGCGCTGAGCAGTGAGCACCGGCCCAGCGCGGGTAAAACTGCTTCGTCTCCGTCTTTACTGGGTGGGCAAACACACTCCACTGGTTGGGCAAAAATCGCTACTGGGTGGGCGATTGCCCAGTCAACGTGTTATCCGAGGTCCTGATACTAACACAATGCAGTTTTATTTATCTAAAAGAATTGCATATGAGCTCTGCCTTAACCCTCGCTCCTATTGGTGTTTTTCCAGCAGCGAACGTATAAGAGGGGGGGGGGGGTCTGTTGAACCCCCCTTGCCGTTTCGCCCCTGATCGAGCTAGAGCTTCGCGGAAAAAACGAGTGTTTCCCGTGACGAGAGGAAGCCGATGATACCCAATTTTAAGGTCCTAGGTCATTGGTTGACCTTCCAGGTCAGGCCAATGACCCAAAGTAGGGAAAATCGGGGCCGTTAGAACGTCGTTAAGTGTGCCTGCTATGAGGTTTTTCGGGGTGCTGATCACGAATATAATGTTAGTTTTGATCACAAAGATGTCGTCATACATTTAGGCCAGGTGGGGTCAGGACGGGTCAGGTCAGCCAGTAGGGGTCCGCCGGGTATTCGTATTAGGTGTCAACCGCCTCTGACAGCTTCGTAACATGTTACGAAGGCACCAGAACTACTTCGTAAATGTTCATGTGGTTGTTAAATTCGAATTCAGCTCCAGAAACTAGCCTAGAAACATGTAAAACTCGAAAAAGTGAACCGTTGTCATCAAAGGTCAATGGTCATCAAAGGTCAATGACCTGACCTGACCTTCAGGTGACCTTGACACTCACCCTAATGCATGGGAGCAACATCATATCACATGTTTGAACGCTTGAAACCACGAAAAGACTGCAAACGCGCGGCTAATGCGAGCCGACATACGCCAAATCGCGATTCCGGCCAAACCTGGTCTCGAAAAGTAGGTCACAGGTCAAAGGTCATTTGGGTCAGGGTCATGTAATTTTAAGAGTAGGTATGTGTAAAATTGATCAACGCGAGGGCACTACTGAAAGTTTCGTCGTGATCGGCCGCTTTCTACGCGAGTTATTCGCGAAAAACCGAGGGGGGTCCGTTCGACCCCCCCCCCCCCAATGTATACGGGTGCAGAGGGTTAAAGCTCTGGGCACCCCCAACCATTTTCACAAATCGACACCCCTGAGCCTCGGCGCTCCCCATAGCTACACAACCTGAACGATTCCTTTCCAGTTTAAATGATTGATGACTGATTAGAGTGGCAAGTTAGGTGAAACGATGATCTCCAATTCTTATATCGGTGACCTAAAGTCGGGTCAATTTATGACATTTATAATTTAGCGGGTGAAAATGGAAGTGCTTCTTTTTTCCGACAGAAGACAGAAGGCTAATAGGTATACAACCCATGCATACAGTAAATAAAAGTGTCGCCCAACTGTTAGCTCCGAATCAGGCCAGCTCACCAGATCTCCTTGGGACCGAGGTGGATGGAGAGCGCCTCGGCGATCCACGTGATGCCCATCACTACAAACAGGTTCACGTAGATCTTGAACCTGCAGAACCAAGGCCACGTATCGGTCAACAGATGTCATTTAGCTGCAAGGAGTGTCTGTGGTAGGTATTTCTGAGGAGGGGTTTATTTCGTGCAATTAGAGTGTCTGGAAGTCTGGAATTGTTCAGTCCTGTCCAGTCCAGACACATTGTCAAGCAGATGACGAGGAATACGAGGATTAGGTACTGTTAGTCAAAAGCTCATAAGTGTTTTGCTGAAAAAGGAAACATTGGAAAAGTCACTTTTAGTGCGCTCTTTTGCGGTTGAGCGTTCAGCGTTGCGAAACGGCGTCTTCTCAGCGAAAATCTTACAGACAACCGCATTGGTTGTAAACTCTTCTTATGTGGAGCCTAAGCCCCCATCGGTAAATCGGCCGTGTCACCAAAATACTATCTGAGCCTGCTAAGCGTCCAATCTCTGGGTCCGCACAATTTTCAGTAAACCCACGGCTATCGCCTGTTGAGCGCCACTCTACCGCGTCGTTGGTCAAATTAGCGGCAATTTGCAGCGATGGCCGATGCTGCCAATAACACAGCCTCGACGGCAGCGGTGGGTGACAGACAATCAGGTAGTCAGCTGCAGTGCAGGGCCGTGGTCTGGTGGCCTTGCGTCGCGCCTATAATGTCAGTCTGCTGCGGACAGCCACCGCACTACATTGTTTGTTTTTGTGGTCTTTGGTGGATGTGATGACGCTCTTTGGAAATCCCGTGAATCCCGTGACAATCGGGCGATGGCTGGAGGGAAGAGGGAAAGAGCGGTAACATAGAGGAAGGAGGGAAAAGAGTAGTGGCTAGAGGGAGAGGGAAAGAAGGGTTTGGGAGGAAGGAGGGAAATGACATAATGTTGTTTGGTGATATTGCCGTTTTGTTGTTTTCCGTGGGCTGCACAAAAGATCGGCTGTATCAGCGGTAATTCAGTAGGGACAGTGTGTCCGACGATCATCCTCTTTACCGCTAATCTACTACAATTGGTAGCACTCTCTAACTGTCTGTAGGTACGGTGTACTCGACACTATCAGCTGTATTTAACGGCTAATTGCTTATTGCATAATATTATCGATCACCTTTTTTACCGCACTGCATCCGTATTAGGCTGACGCCACAGGCCATCATGTCTGTTGTTTGCGCAAGGGAAAACTTTCGCTTATTCTTAAACCCACCAAGCGTTCTCGGGTTTTATAGGAACAGACGGCGCATGTGGTTCAAAGCACCTGCAAGTTGTGGAATTTCCTGTCGTATTATCCGAGTGAGCTGAGCGGCGGGACGTACGAGCGTCACAGCGGTAAGGCCGGGTCCTCGGACAGATCATACATGAAGTACAAGTGGTGTCTGAACAGATTACATAGGTAAGTGCATTGTCATAAGTGATCCAGAACAAAGAATATGTAAACGACACGAACTAAGTTGGTCGCATTTTTATAGCCTAATTCGCGTTTGAATTAAAGAATGAGCCAAAGCCAATTTTCTCAGCCAATTTTTTTATAAACCGAAGTGAGAAAGTGACGATATTGCTCAAATATCAAATGAAAAATCTATTTTTTAAGATGGAGGATCGTATGATTTACCTTATCTTCTTCGCTCACTTTTACAAAGCACAGTCGTAAGAAAATAGGTACCGTACTGCAGTTTACACCTACCTTTCTGTGCCTCTTTTCTGCCTGCCGGCCATGCGCGTATCCTTCTCAGTCTGAAGAAGGTTCTTGGCGGTGAGCACAAAGAAGCCCAGATTCGCCGTCATCAGCACCAGAATAGGGCCGTGGAAGTAGACTAGCATCTCCCAGCTTCCTGCAACAGGCACAATGAACACAAAATGTGTAGGTCAACAGGGAATTTCAATTTGTGCCCCAAACAAAAAACAAAAAAGAAGCGCCATTTTACGCTTCTTTCGCTCCACAATCCCGAATGCGACTCTTTCTTTATCCTATAGCGGACATTTAACCAAGAGACTTGTTGAGACCAAACCGTCACAATGTGTGCAAATTTACGCTCACCTAACGTGCCTCGAATGACCTCCAATTGTCAGTTCTTATCAATAACCACCGGGATTTTCGCCACTTTATCGTGACTTAGGTGTGACAGGAAAACGGGAGTGATTGCGGATGTATAGTCGATTCGGTAATTATACAATCAGCCAATAAAAGTCGACCATTGATGTGCTCGTGTTTGAGGAGTGCAGACGTGTTAATTATTAGGTTTGACAGGTGCACGCGACTACGGATAATCGACGCGGGCTGTTGAGGGAAAGTCCCGTGTCTTTGAGGTATCATGGCATTGGTTACCGAGTGGTTCGTGTCACGACACCTATTAGGCCACCAAAAGTGTCACCGTCACCAACATGTGTAACGACACGTGTCAATGCTCTCAATCTCATGTCATGCAGCTGTCGGTCGGTGAAGTGATGTGAGACAAACGCCATCAGTGTTGGACTGCGAGTTGCTGACACATACGTTGTGGCCGTGAACGCTGATCAACAGGGCCTTGGATGGTATAGTAGGATATTACGGGGATTTACACTTATGTAGCTTAAAACATGCCTAAATTTTTTCAAGCGTAGAAAAGCGAGATAACTGCGCAGCTCCAGTCGCTTACAAAGCCAATTTTGGCTCGCTCATTGAGCTCCTGAAGAATATGCTTGTCTGCACTGACCAAGTACCTACATTTTGCCTGTATAGTATATATCTGTGAAGTGTTTCGTTAGAGATACACATTTAACATACATATAACAAGCCTTGGAGCTGACGACCAGGATCAGTAATTGTCGTTTGGCCCGCTTTAGTCCGTAAACGGGACTGACCACGTATGTCCATGGCCACATGCGGCTAAGCCACCAAATGCCGTAGGTATATGTCTGGAAGTTCCCGATCGGACGGCGGAAACCGGTTGTGGCACTTGCCACATGCCAGCAAACCCTGTTCGGCGAGGGAGTTAATTGTTCCCTGGAAAACCATCTATTTTAAATCTGCAGGCTAGATTTGTTGTTGAACGTTTAAAACATTGATAAGTTTCAAACGTGTACTCAACTCACTGATGCTGCTCGATGTTTCGAAATAATGTAAATCGATAAAGGGATTTATATAATCCTAACCCTGACAGAAGGACCAAAACTGGTTATCATGGTTGACCCAACTGCCTTGCGTACCACGCGTCGTCGTCGCACACTGCGTAAACGTATGGCCTGCCGCCAAGGAAACTGGTTTTTGGCGGGTCGCTTATAATTGCTTATAACTCTTCTCACAAACTTTTACAGTGGCACAACCAATACAATTGAAAGATACTCGTGAAAGCACTTACAAAAGCTGCAGGTAGGCATTTTACACAAAATTAAATTTTGTATTTAAGTACGTTTTGAGCGAAGCCCAACATTAAGCCCATGGTTATTTTTTCGTGTAGCACTGAGCCTCTCGTTATGGTATCAGGAAATGATATCGCTGAAAGAATCATGCGCCCGGCCGTGACCCCTTTCACGCAATATGGCTGTTTCCTTCGAGGAGTCCTTCGAGGAGTTCCACTCATCCCTATCATTCCGCCCAAAAATAATTACTTCTATTTCATCGCTATGAATGACACTGCACGGTACACGTTATTCCATTTAATTTCTGACGGGATGTGCAAATGGCATGCCACTCGCTTTCCTTTCAGTGAACACTGAGGCAAGTATTATAACAGCAAGGTCATCTGATGTGCCCTGCTACAAATGTCAATAAGAGCATAGCCCCCACGAGACCAATTGCATTCTGCAGTCTGCACACCCTTCCCCTATCAATGCCCTCAAGACGCCAGCTCCGGGATATTGGCACGGACATGCAGAGGGGTGATATTGGGGCCCGTAATGGAAGAAGAAGCGTGGCGCCAGAGATATTGCGAGGTCATAAAGGCTTAACGTTTGTCGGGTCCCGACTGGCTGTTTGTCTAGAGCCAAGTAATTGGAAGCTCGGACCAGCAACCGTTCCCAATGATACCGGTTGTAAATAGGTGTAACCGAAATAGTGACTTTTCCGTCATCGACTACCCCATAATGAAATATGGTGCACAACTATCTGTGTTATCTGGCCCGATCCCCAAATATGACAGTTTTTGAGCTCAGCATAAACAAAAATTATCTAGCACCGTTTTAATATCACGCCAGTTCAATAGAATAAATCATTCTATAAATTGACATTGACCTTCCGCTACTCTTGCGCCGAAAGTCTCGGGCAATATTATCTCCTCTGACCTTGACCTAGTCTCATTGGGATCATCTCATACCATCTGGCTGATCCCCTAGGGAAGGCCCTCTGGCCACTGTACGGATATCGATCCTCCTGGGACACTTAGCGGCATCGGTCACCGGGTCAGCACCCAGGGGACGGCAGAATAACGCCAGAAAATCGGGGTGATGGCGCGCGCATGGCAGATATGACGCAGCTGAGACGAATGGCGCCGAGCCAGCGCACAGCTGATGAGGATAATGGGGATAATGGGTGATGTTTTCCTTGTGGGTGTTGTATATTTGTGAGCCGGAGGTAGCCTGGAGCTGGGGAAGTTCACCGATGAACCACACAATTCCAGGATGGTAAATTGGCCATCATCAACTTCGCCGCAGTAATGCGCACTGTTTTGCTTTGTTATGAGTCGCACTTGTGATTTTATTGTATGATTTTACCTGGTGTTGAAACAGTTCTTCATTGTGTTAGTACAAGAATAATGATATGTTGTTTTATAATTATGCGCCATGCGTGGCACAGCTTTTTACCTTCATGGCGTTGTCAATAGATCTAATTAATCTTAACCCTCGCCCGCACATGGGGGAGGGTGGTTGCCCCCACAACTCAGGTAGGTATAGTTTCCGCTCTGCACTAAACATTTTTATAGCTAGAAGCCTGATGTTTCGTATAGGGGAAGCGGGGGTAACACCGCCCCCCTAAGCTTTTCGCCAAAATGAGAGAATATGTGTGAAGTCTCTTGGTAGTTATTGTTTTGGTTACAATATTTAAACATTTTCTCACGTGTTTTAGGTACTTATTTTGCATGCTCCTAAAAGGTTTTCATGTATCACGACTTTTAAAAATACCTTGCATATTTGCTGCCTACAAATTGTGTGGGTAACCCCGCCACCGGTGTTGATGTTAACCCAACCAATTCCTACGAAAGCTTTTAATTGTTCAGAGATCGTGTGCGATGAGTTTCCTGTCGGTAAGTGGTAATTTTCGCAAATAATCGGTAATGGACACCTAAATAGGTATAGGTTCATCAGCTGTTTGCCAGTTTTATACAGCTGGCAAGTGCTTGGTCGGGATGCATGAAAAATATAAAGTAAAAAATCAAATAAGCTGCTTATTCCCGACTTAGGAACATCTACGAACATAAATAAAGCGTGTCTTTGGAGTTTCATCACTTATCACGCTACAAACAGGAAACACCGCAACCTCAATTGGGGTAACACCGCCACGGGGTGGCGGTGTTCCCCAATAAGTGATCACAAGCAAAAATCGCCAGCGGTAAGAATGTACTACACGGTTCAAGCAAACTTATCTTACTGGACAAAGCCGATCAGTTATTTTTCGATGTAATCAAGTAAATCAAAATGAGTCTCTACTTAAAGACATTCAAAAGTGCTCCCAACTCATCGAATTTTTATAAGAGAATGTGCATTTTTCTTTAAATGCCCACATTGAGCTTCGATTACACTGAAACACCGGAACACAAATCAGAAGACGCTTGCCTGCGTGCGGTCAATAGGAAATAACGGATTTTTACACTTCACATTTCATACTTTCGCCGCCAGATGGGGTGGCGGTGTTTCCCACAGTGGCGGTGTTACCCCCGCTTCCCCTAGCTGCTTTTCTATCGTTCATCCACTGAAAATTTCAAGTTTCTGTGGTTTTTGGTTTCGGAGATATGACCTTGTTCTTCAGGTCATGTCATGACCCAAATGACGAATACCCAATATCTTGCGTTGGCTATGGGTCTTGTGAGCTTTTTACACCTTGATTTCGGGTTTTTGCCAGTCTTACCTCCAACCTATCATAGAGCATGTTGTTCGACGATGTACAGAGGTCAGGGTCATGGTCAAGGTCAACCTAGGTCATCTAAAGACATTGCGGTTTTAGGCAAGCTAAATTTACCTTTCAAGAAGTTTCTTTGACTGCATTTTTGGCAAAAGCTTCTCAGTTCATGACCTCATGTAAAAGAAAACCAATCGGTGCACACATCAGTATACACACAGACACACACAGACATACAAACACATATCATTGACCTTGACCATACTTGACCTGAAATGACCACAGCCAGCAAATACCTAGTCGGATAATGTGACAAAGAGCTGTTTGCTGGCTTGACACCATAATACGGCAGCGTCATTGGTATATGATGGGCACCGCACGTGATATTCCAACGGTGACCCCAAACAGCAACATTTTTTAGTTTGACCTGACCTGGAAGGTTAATGACTGACATAATGAGGTAAAATTGGGTACCATTGGATTCGTCTCTCCCCAACAAATCTGTTGGTCTTTATCACGAAGCTCTATCTTCAGCAGGAACGAAATGGCGCGGGGGTGGTGACAACGCCCCCTCCCCCTCCCCCATGTGCGTTTTAGGATGGGAGAATGACATGTGCGGGCGAGGGTTAAAAGATCTTACGGAAAGTATGTAGATGTAGATACTACCCAGTGGGCAAATTTGGTCTAGGCTGGTTTTACTCTGGCTAGCTCCGGCATTTGCTCCAGCTAAGGTACGGGCAGGATCTGGGGCTCTACTGGAGCTGACACACGATCCCAGAGCTTGTCCGCACCACAGATAGG